AATGAGCTCTTTGCCAGACTAACTTTCAGAGCAAAATTAAATCTAAATCAGGAAACAAGAGAGAGAGTCACTGTGAATGGGCCTAAATGGGAATAAAGGCAGAGAAAGGCCCCACCTCTCCAGGTTTGCTTGACCAATGTGAAGGGTGGAATTTCGGCGGGAAAATTCCTCTCTGGTTGATTTATGAATCTTTTTTTTAAGCATGCTCATTTGCATGTCCAGCTGCATTTGTTTCTGCAACGTGATCTCATGAGAATACGTATGTATTTATACGTAAAGTGTCGTTCTATCATACGTATATATAATTACGTTTTATATGCGCAGAAACGTATAATACTGACGTATTTACAGTACTAAAACGTAAAATATTTACGTATTGACAGCACAAAAACGTAATTTATTTACGTATGAACAAATCCACCGACGTACACATTGTACGTATCACAATTTATGCATATTAATATCGTAGCAGCATTATGTTTTTACTCTGTTGCATTCCACTGTCTTATTAATGAAGTTTTCAGTCGCATTTATTGATATAATACTCATAAATATGAACATTTTGCTCGTTTCGCCTACATGTTGTTAAACAATGCACTATAAAACCTTAAAAATACAGTCTTTAACGTTAACTACTCGTTCAACCATTTTGTAATAGTTTATTTACCTTGAGACACATAAAGCGTTTTCTCCTATAAAACACAACAAAAAAATCACAAAAGACATCAATTTGATTAGTTTGATGTAATCCAAATCTTTAGTATCCATAGTTGTTTAAAACAACTCCTAATTCAGCCTCTTATCCAGTCGTGATCTCTCCATTCTCAGCAGCGACCGTACATGTCAAACCCCGCGCTGATGAATTCAAATTCAAAAATTGCTCCCTTGAGAAGCGATACGTCATGTTTTACGGTAGTGATATCAAACGTTCATTGGCTCTTCCCTGCTTCGTCACAGTTTGCGACATGAAGGACTGTGCCGGTTGGTTAGTTTAGTTCATTTGAATTTTGAAATGGAGAAGCGCGAACCGAAGCCGGATTAACATTTTCATTATTTATTTAATTTCTGCTCTGTACTTCATACAAAACTATTACAATACTGCCAGAGACAGAGAGAAGACTGCGACTGCAACGCTTCATCATGTGAACGGCTTTTGGTATCGGTTTTGACATTTTTGCAATAAATAAATTGTGATTATACTTGTCTGTTAGTTATGTTTTTCTTAATAATTGTAGTTTGTTACGTAGTTTTAAGGAATTGTTATGGGTAACGTTAGGTTTAGGGGTAGGATTGGTGGCTCAAAATATATTTTAATGTTATATTGTTATTAAAACTACCCTTTCCCAACACCTGTCCGTTACGTTTTATCCTTTTTTATATTAAGTATAAAATGGGTATGTTTAGGTTTGGGATTAGGGTTACGGGATCTTACATTTATGTATAAAATGGTAAAAAGGGAAATTATACAGATATCTTTATGATATAGAATATACGTAAATAGTTTACGTTTTGTAGCTGTAAAAACGTAATAATGTTACGTTTAAATGTTGCAGATACGTCTATATTATACGTTTCAGCACCTATCCAGACGTACTAAAAAGTACGTTTTTTATCTTTGCAAAAACGTAAAATACCTACGTATTAACAATGAGACCAGGCTGGTTTCTGATGATGAAACTAAGGCCCCGTCCACACTACTGTTTTCGTTTAAAAACGGAGAATTAAAACGAATACGATCTCCGTCCACACCAGCGTTTTGTCTGCGTATTAGAATTGATCTCCATCCACATTAAAACGACTGAAAACGCAGATCACGTGACCATTCACCAACACTGGGCATGCGCGCGTCGGTGTAAACAGTGGTTGGCGAATCAGGGAAGGACATGTCATGACTGATAACACCCAATCATAGAGCCGAGCGTGAGCCTCTGCGTCATCATTTGTAAACACCTCCGTTTTGTCTCGTCCACACTAAAACGCCCTCCGGAGATTCAAAACGCAAAACGCAGCTGCAGTTTCTAAACTTCTCCGTTTTAGGTCTTCGTTTTTCCCGTTTTAGTGTGGACGGGAGGTGCAAACGTAGCAAAAGGTCTCCATTTTTAAACGAAAATGCAGTAGTGTGGACGGGGCCTAAGAACGATTGGTGATACTTATATGTTGCAGAGCTATCAAAATATTATGTACACAATCATTACGATCTGCATAGTACCAATTTATAGAGACCAAACATGGTATAGGTGACCATTGATTCTATTGTAAAATAAAGAGCATCAACAAAATAACATTACAAAAGACAGTAAATCATTCGCAAAATTTTCTTCATTTATAGATCAGTTTGTCTATAATTAATGCAGCAAAGTCTGTATTAAAGGGATGTTTCTGTCTACCCCAACATCTCTGTGTTTAACATGAGACCACATTTTTAACAGCAATAAAACCAACTTATCTGATCATAGTCCTGGTAACCCAAAGACCCTTGGGAGATGTCTACTCTTGTGTAATGGAAATCATTACTTGCATAAAAACACAACGCATTCTCACCCCAAGGCGTCACCTTTGACCATGCTTCAATATTTGACGTTTTAGGCGCCCTTTAGCGTCACTTACATGACGCGATCCTACGGCATCATCTAACGGACGCTAAAGGAAAGCGTCAGTTAGAGGACACGGTTAGGTTTAGGTGTGGGGTGGGGGTAGGGTACACGCGATCCTAGGGCGTCATCTAATTGACGCTAAAGGGCGCCTAAAGCGTCAGATATTGAAGCATGTCCAAATGCTTCCCAAGGCGTCAGTTAGGTGACGCCTTGGGGGTGAGAATGGGCTGAAAAACATTATTTTCTATAAGTTACAGCAATAGTGAAAAGGTATTCTTTTAAGCAAATATTTGCATAATTATTTCTGTAAACGCTTTCTAACAGTTACAAAGACTTATTAAACATTAAAACATTAAACTAGTGGGGGGTTAACTGTGGTTAAATGATGTCTAATCACTTTTGGCAAACTGTGATAATGACTCATATTACTCTTTTCCATGTAGATATGGTTTGTGCTACTTGTGGGAGTGAATCTAATACCCATTTCTTTTTGAGTAATCACATATTATGTACTTACTCATTAACCAGTTTAATTGTAATATTGCAATGCTGTTGTATTCGATACATCCCCACAATCTTGTATTGGGAAATTTGTATGATTACTGCATTTGATTTGCATTTGCTCTATATATGCAAGGCAATTTGAGGATTTGGATTGATTAGCAATGGGCCAGTGGGGTGGCTGTTATGGAGACAGAAAAAAAAAAGCAGCTTTTTACTGAAGAAAATTTGAGTGGTGTAAAAATGCCATGATACTATGGGTGATTGCTGAGAGGTTGCTTATATGTTTTCTTTGCATTTCACAAATGGTTCATAGGCCATACTGATATTCTGGCTCCTAAAAAATGGCTTGGTTTCCTGTATCAATTCAAGTCTATGGGATTTTTGGCAATAAAAAAAAAAAAAAAAATGAAGTGGTTTTAAAATATTTGTGTTGGCTAGGCAGCTTGTTTGTTTGGATGTTGCAAGGATTCTTTTGATGGTTGCTAGAGTGTTGCTATAAATGCTATAGGTTTTAATGCATTGCTATAGTTTCAGATAGATAATACACTAGTTTGTCAGTGATAGATGCTGTAAACAATATAATGAAGTTTAAATTAAGAAGAACAATCAATAAATAATCAGCAGTGTTCCACATTGCTTCAAGCTGTAAATGTGTGCACTGGTGAGATTCTTGCAACACAAGAGGAAGAGAATAGCTGTTCATAGCAAAGAAAAAAGAATCGTGAAACATTAACAGAAAACAAGTACCTAAAAGCATATCACATTGATATATTAAAAGTTTTAAAGGAAAAACTTGCCTTTGCCAAAAAAAAAAAAAAAAAAAAAAAAAAGGAAAAAAGAGAAGACGATTATTCACATGCATATAGGCCATATGAGCAGTGATACTGATAATAATCAGTTCCTGCTGACTGAGCGACTCATTTGAACAGATTAATCAAATCCATAAATGCTTAAAACTGGCCTGGAAGAACCAGTGTGCAAACATGCACAGGCGTGCGCGCGCACACACACAGAATGTATATAGCCTGTGGACAAGCATAAATTTCAGCAGAACTTATTCCAGTGTACATGCAAAAAAAAAAAAAAAAAAGACAAATGAGACGTTTGAGAAAGGCATGCAATGAGTCCAATTATTTTATCATAACTAAGTTGTTTTCTGGAGTAACATCACTGTAAACGTATCTCTGTTTTTAGCCCAATAGATTTGGCTTGCAAAACTATTGTAATTTTCTGTAGTGTTTATACTCCATATTTTGAATCAAACATTTCAACAGTGTCTGTTATTAACCTTTCATGACAGATGACCAAAGGTTCACAAAATGTTTTAGTGTAGGTTTGTTTATGCATCATCAGAAATCAGCAGACAAGGATCGATCTTGGGTTATCAGTTCATCAAAATTAAATTATAGAATAATGTCGATTGTCAAATCCAGGCTTATTGCTTTGTAGAATTCTAAAAACAACATATTTTTTATGCCAATCAATTCTGTTGGAAAAAAAGGATATAAAAAAAGTCACCCACTTTCCTACTGTAATTACTGTAATTACCAGTAATTCCAACAAAGCACTCATCCTTATAGAACTCATAATTGCTTGTAAATTCTGAATTTTCTGAGAGCTCTGACTTGATGTAGCATGTGCCATGCATGTACCATGTGACAACTGCAGATTCATATTTAGCTTTGATAGTGTTGCCACATTAACGCATCATTCCGATGACGTGAACAGCACAGAGTATAACGTCACAGGTTGCCATCCTGTAATATACGGTAATTATGAAAACATGAACGAAGCTAAAGTGCAGCCTCTGATTGGTCCATAGTTAACATTCCAATAAAGTGTAAGTAACTTTTGCATAACATTCAAAAACAAATCCAAGAGTGTTAGATTTTCTTTTGCATTTGAAATCAATTTTATTCAATTATTAAAATGCATCCTATGGAAAGAAATATTACAGGAAGTATGATGAAGAGTTAAGTACATTTTGTATTCCCCCCACCCCCCACCCCCACAGTCAACACAATTCATGCTTTTGACTTAAATAACTCATTTGATTACATCATGGTTCTTAGCAAATGAAACCAGTATTCAAAAATAAATTGCTGGTAGAGTAATAGAAAAAAACCCAAAAAACTCCATGTCCATTTGGAAGTTTTAGAATTGCATGAGGCAACCAGAAATTTTATCCACCATCAGCATTTCCAGGGCCGTGATGGGTAGCGCTGTCTCGCCATGAAAATATAGATCTAATGTCAAAAACAAAACTATGTGACACTGATTGAGTAGGAAAGTGTCCATTGTAAAGGTGCTGTTGCCATTCACAACAGAGTGTGCTGCAGGTGATGTACTGTCATTTTTGTTCTTTAACAGATGCCATGTCTGCTATTACACCCAATTTAGCTGACTATCACCACCCCATTATCTACAGAGTTTCCTCGTCCTCCTCCAAGCCGCTGCTGGGCCTCGTGAGTAGGGATTCCTTCAGCAGGATGTCATCGACCTGTTTTGCACTGTCCTCCGGCTCCTCAGGTATAGATGGTGGCAAGCTGTCAGCATCCGAATTGAGCACATACCCTGGCAAGGAGGCGTGTGTGCTGATATTTGGCCCCCCACTGCTGCGGTAGACGCGGCTGGAGAAGAGTGTGGTGGAACGGGTGCTTGGGCCTCCGGCAGCGAGCTGGGATTGACTGCTGGTGCTATTGTTGAGGCCAGTTAATACAGAGCCATAGCGGTAGCTCCCGCACACCACCGGGCCCTTCCAGTCGAATGCTAAGTTCCACCGGGTCCATGTCTTCTTGATCTCAGTCTGGACCTGATAATTAGAGTAAGATGATGTAGAACAGTTGATGCTGAAATGCATGGTGACTTTAAAAAAAAGCATGGCCAAAAGCCTTACTGCTTTACAGGTTTTCTCAGTTACTTATTTTTACTCAAAACAATTAGTTTTCTTGTTCGCATCAGATTATAATTTCTTATTGATTTATGCAAATTTCATGTTTTTGGCATGTGTACAACATAGTAAGAACAATTGTCTACAATTTGCACAATAACTAAATGCACATGGCTTGTTGATCAAAACTGATGAGTCGATTCTCAGTGAAATTATTAAATTCTTCACAATTTCTAAATATTCTTTCACCATGTGAGCCATCACATGCAACATTATCCATCCAGTGATCAAAATCCTGTCATGCATGCGCATGAATATTCCATAAATATGTCTAACATGGCAAATGATCTTCCATTGTAATGAAATAAGAATCATATGGATATTCGCCGAGCACAATCGCTACCATTTTTGAACATAGAGGATCCTAAACAGCTACATCTGTGTGTTGTTTTTGTAGAAAAGTGTTTCATCTTAACTGAAAATTCACATTTGCTTGCATGGAAGAGAAATTAAAAGATAAGAATGTGAGGCAATGTTAGGGGAAGACTATAAGTGTGTAAAAATAAACAATCAATTGTGAATTTTCGGTTACATACACTTTAACACATTTCTAAAAAGATAAATGTACTGTAGGCTATAAATAAAAAAAGTAAATTTACTACAGTACTACAGTATTGGCTCAGTGTGATACACAAGAGTAGCCTGGATGCCAGCCTGAACTCCACCCACAACATTTTTTGGTCGGGAAGTTCGGTCTGGACTGGATCCATGGAGGAGTAATTATGATCAGACAAGAAACGTTTGGGCCAATCAAATTGCCAGGGCGGGCTTTCAACGATGATGGACAGGTGATCTGCAGGGACGTAATCATCACGTTATCAAAGATCGCTTAACTGGTTTCACTCAAAGATGACTGCAGCTGGAGAATTGAGATGTAAAGATTCCGCTGTCACGTCTGTTGTGAAATAAATCGGCAGCGCATTAATTTTCATAGTCAAACAGAGAACTGCAATCAAGGCATTTGTCGATCGGAAATATATCTTTGCCGTCCTTCCTACTTGATTCAGCAAAAGTGTAACTTATCAGCTGGCTCTGACGGTCGCTGAGAAGATGGGACGTAATGAAAAGCCTGTGGTCGTTGTGGTTTCTCCATTGGTCGCACTCATGGAGGACCAAGTAAAAGAAGCAACACTCGTTATTTTACTTTACTTTTACTTTAAAATAAGGAAGTTCTGTAGTTGAAAACTGCGCTATGCAAAGGAGTTGACTTACTGCGTTGCTCTGATTGGTTGTAGGTTTACCGACTATCCAATTGAGTGCAGAGGTTTTTTTTTCCTGGTTCGGTTAAGACACGCCTCATAATCAAAGCCGTACGGAGCAGATTCAGACTCATATTCTCACTAGAATATGAGTCAGGCTACGCAAAGTCAGGCTAACGCAAGAGCATTCATCTACACAAAACTGACATTCTTGTGTAGTATAAAAGCAGTCAGTATCAACAAAAAGTAGAAAAAAACATGCAATTTGTATTACAAATATTTCCATGATGAAAAGAAAATCTAAACATGATCAGATGACATCACGATGACAAAAACACTTTTTATCTTGGTGGCATTGGCCAATTTACTGACACAATAATTAGGTTTTGAAGCATGTATTAAATGTTTTGGGTGAGTTACTACATTTTGCAGACATGCAATAGATTTCTGATGTTCCAGCAAAAAGTTGTTACAATTGCACTAACAATTTAGAGAATATTAAGAAAAATGTGCCTAAGTAACTGAGAAAAACTGTCAAATTGAACTGATAGTGCTTTTTTAAATTTTAGTTAAATTCCCGAATTGACCTTATAGACAGGAAGTATGATAGAGAGAAGGATGGATGACATTTACTGTCATCTTTCATATGTAATAAATAATTTTTTTATGCAGGGTGAAATAATCTTCATTTCCCAGAATGATTTACCTGCATTGAATTGATTTGAATTATAGTTCAGTAAATTCTTCTTCCTGCCATTCCACTGGGTGTGGCCAATTCATTTCAAATTCTCATAAATTCTCACAAAACACACTCATAAATTGAAAAGGAAATGTTTCTTCAAATTTATGAAATTTGCACATCACAATTCTGGCATTCAACAACTACTGGACAGAGCAAAACAGATTAAAGAACACTGGCCTACCCTGACAGTGGGAATGGTTAACACTTAAAACTCCATGCTTGTTCCATCCACAGCTTTTTCATAACATTTGTTGTGCTAAAGCACTTAACAATTATAACAGCAGTATGTTTAAATTAATAACATTAATTAATTATTTGAGTTTTATTAGTCCAGTGTGTAGCATCTGCCGGATGAAGCGATGGCAGCCGTAGCATGCCAAAACACCCACCTCTCACACCGACTATTGGTGGAGGAGAGGAGGCCAAGTGATGCAGCCAATCAGCTTAAAAGGGATGAGTAGGAGGCTATGATGGATGGATGCCAAAGAGCAAATTTGGCCAGGATACCAGGGTTATACTCCTAATCTTTTTGAGAAGCACCCATGGGATTTCTGATGATCTCAGAAAGTAAGGACCAGTTTAACATCTGTACACTTGTCAGTCACACTGCAATGAGTCGCAGGCACCTGGTTTATGATTATTTGTGTAAAAATAATCAGAAAATCACCAGAACAAATCAAGAAACTGATTCTTTAAATGTGACAGGGCAACCATTTTCAGTCTTGAAATGTGCAATTGTCCTAAAAACCATGTTTGATGCTACAAAAGAAATTAGACTGCGTTGGCCAAATTGTCAAAATAGTACAGAATGCAATTGCAACTTCTCTCTATATTCCCCTAATTATTGTGATTATAAAGCAGCTTCGCAATTTCTCACCTCTCCATTACAGTAGCAGTAGATGATAGACACAAAGAAACCCTAAAAATAGAAACAGATGTTAGAAGGGCACAGCAACATGTGAACACATTTCTCAAACAGCTGACTGAGGTAAAACAAGAAACTGCAAATATTTGAAGAAGAAACTACACTTACTATTCAACTTTTTAAAGTCACATCACAGCTCTCAAGCTGTATGATTTGAGATACAATTTATGATGCAGGAAGAGTTATGGTGTTTAGTGTTCTTGGTGTGATCGGGCCTTAAATATGAGCGATACTAATGGATTAGTAAGTCTTCTCTACTTCATGACCACTATTTAAACACTGATGAAAAACATCTATAAAGACATTATTTGTAAGTTTGTTGACCATTCAGATGATATCTTATGTATTTAATTACTTACAGTTGACACTGGCCACCTGTTTAGTTTATATAACTAAATATTTTGCATTTTCCCTGTATGTGGACATGGAAGTGATCTGTTCTTGATGTGAAGGAGTTAAAGGTCCAGTTAAAAGAGTCTCAACCTCACCAACACCTGTCATTTAAGACAGCCGAACATCTCAGACAAAATCAATGCGGAGGGTCATGAGATGTCAAGCACATTAGAGTGCTGTGAATTGAATTGACCTGTAGACAGACCGCTGGTCCTTCCCTGGCCGTGCCCCCACACGTGATCCTGAGACCCCAGTCTGGATGTGTGCCCAAGGTTCCCACCACTCCCTTTCGGGACCAGGTGGTGAACCTGCAAGTGCTGACCCCTGGAGCAGGCAGACCCAGCCTTGGCACTGCTCTGTCCAGTACGCGCTCTCCGCCTCTATGTAGACAGAACGCAGTGTTTCAGGACCTCAGACCAGCTCTTTGTCTGTTATGGTGGGAAGTTGAAGGGAAAGGCTCTCTCCAAGCAAAGGCTGTCTTCACTGGATAGTGGACGCCATTGCTTTGGCATTGGCATACCAGCAGCAAGGTCGACTGTGCCCCCTTGGTGTGACTGCCCACTACACCCGGAGTGTGGCGTCCTCTTGGGCTTTAGCGCATCAAGCCCTGAGTTCCTCCGGCACTGCTGACGTCGACGCCAGTGTCTATTGCCTGTGCGTTGGCTAGGTGCGTCCGTGTGCTGTGAAGGTGGCGTGATTAGACTGGTAACCCCATTCGTCGTCATCTGACTTAACTCGGAGTGACAATGAAAGGGAATGTCTTGGTTAAGTATGTAACCCAGTGGAAGTGGCAGCCTAACGTAACGTCTCCATTCCCTCAGGGAACGAATGGAGACGTTACGTCTGGCTGCCACTTCCACTGTACCGCGGGAATCACCTGAGCTCAGTCTTGGCTCCTCAGCGAAGAAATCTGCATATTGCCGCCGTCCTCATTTTATACACACAAAGTGGGGCGGAGTTGCGCCATGCAAATTCTGCAGGCCCATGGCATTTCTTTGCCAGTGGCTCATTTTGTAATACTCAAAGTCAAAAGGCTTTCTAAGCAAAACCCCATTCGTCGGTGTCTGGCCTAACGTCTCCGTACCCTACTCAGGGAACGAGGGTTACATGCGTAACTGAGACATTTCATTGCCAGAGCAATTTTAAAAATTGCTTTTCATCAGTGGCTTGTTTTTCCTTCTTATTTTATTAGTCTTTCTTCCAAATCAATATGAAATCATGCAAAATACATGCACGTCATTTATATAAATGATGCTAAAATACAAATTTATGATTTTTGAAAAAGAAAAAAGAAAAATCATATGAATCTTTACTCGCAGAGATCACTGATTTCATTAGCTATTCATGCAATAAAAGCTTGTTTCCAAGTACCTGGAAAGAATTGAAGAACAGCTCACAATACATCCGCACCTCCCAGCCCAGACCGTCGAAGGTGTGTGGCATTCCAACAAACACAATGTAATGCACCCCAAACACCAACACCAACACAAGCGTGGATTTGGCAAGCTTCCTGAACAAATAGAAATGAAAATGTTCTGTCAGTTAAATAAATGTTATTTAATGAACCTGTATGAATTTCTTCTCTCTGTGGAACACAAAAACAGATATCTTTGCACTGCAAAATTCAACGGGTGAAATACTCTCATCTCAATTGCATCTCCATGATCTGGAATTTCACATTAGGGAAATGAGGCAAAAAAATCCTCATGCAAATTCCCATTGGATTCAAGTTGGAAAGCAAATTTATTTAATTTACTAATATAAATCTTGGTTTGGAAGCGACTCTAGTTCACCCAAAACAAATTATTCTGTCATTAATTACTCACCCTCATGTCTTTCCTAAGCCATAGAGTGCCGAAGTTACGACGTCACTCTGTAGGCCAAAAACGTGGAAGTGAGTTAGCATTTTAGCACTACTTTATTGTGTCCGATTGTGTTTTTTAAAATCTTTATATAGGCTTCAAAATGTATAAATTTTGGATTAACTTGTAAAGATTATCTTGCTAGACAAACCTCCGGCGAGGTTCTAAGCGAGCTAAGGCGATACTAAAATGTCATGTGAAAACAATGCCGACTGCTGATTGGTCAGAGAGAATGATCACCATTTACTGCTTCATCATTACACGCACCAGATGGAGTATCCAGAATAACCCCACTATTTTTAAACAGTTCGGCCAGAGATAATTACTAAACTTACAACTATTATGGCAACTGGGAAGAATACGGCGTGGTCAAACGAGGAGGTGCAGACTTTTCTTTGGTTGGTGGCCGAAGAGAGGATCCAGCGAGAGATTGATAGAGCAATGAGGAATGAAAAGCGTCGCTATGACGACGGGGTACTATTTGTGGCGGTATTGTCTGCAATGGAAAATGGTGCGAAAAGTTAGCTGAGTCGAGCCGAGCCGAGTCGAGTCGAGCTGGTACTGGAAATGGAAAAGCGCCATTACAGTTTCATCACATCCCCCGCTCCCCCTCTTATCCTCTTCACCTAGAACTCACTGAAAACCCATGCAATATTATGTGTGTACAAAAAGTAACTATACATGTTTGGTCTCATTTTAAGAGTCTCGGTGCACCTGGTAAAGTGGTCTCATTCTCCTAACTATAATCAAAAGCTAAAAGAAGATATCAAGTATTAGAAAAGTGATGTGTCCCATAAAGGTGTTCCCTTCCCCAGATCCTCTATTCAAACTACCTCCTGTATGTATAAAACAAGAACCCATTCAAAATGTGAACCCCTCTAGAGGAGACCAAAATCGAATTATAATGGCAGACAAGACCATGTGGTAAAGAATATTGATCTGGGTTTATAAGGAAAAAGAGCAGAAAAGTAAGAGTAGGTTGACTACCCACACAACCGTATAATTTTTGTTTTCAGTTTTTTTTTTTTTTGTTCCTAGATTTCTGAATTGTTCTTATGATATGATTAACCATGAATTAATCATGAATTGAAATTTGAATCCGCCTGGTCAATCCACCTGGTGAATCCTACCTGGTCAATAAATTGTAAATGTTTTATTCTGACTGACTCTAAGATTATTTTTCACAAATAGATTATTGGATTTCTATACCAAGGGAGTGTCGTACCAAATAAGAGTCAAACGATATGACATGCGAGCGTACAAGCAAAGGTCATTCACATTACAAATGTATTTCTATTTCAAATTGTAACAAGGAATCAGCCAGGGCTCTCTTTGGCTTAACATAACGAACTGTTTGCTAATGTTTGCAAACACAACATGTCTGCCATACCAGCTGTGCAAGCTGACACCTGGGGCTCAGCATACCATTAATTAGTGGGGATACAACAATGATCAAATTGATTACTGTTATTAGCAGCGCAAAATGACATCCATTGGCATTGATTTGCTACAAACTAGAATTTTTTAGGACGCATCCAGAATAACATGTTGACATTCCAAAGCCCAAATGTGCATTTAGGGTCTAAAAGCATTTGATCAAATCCAGGTAAAAATGGAAGCCAAAAATGTTTCTTTCCACATGTAAGAATATCAAATTTATAATATCCAGTGGCCTTAAAATGCAACACCAATTTCAGTACATGATGGAATGATGGAAAACACAACCTGAATCAAACTGCATAATGAGTAGGCGTAGGAAGGGAAGCTTGTTATCGCATCACTTAGCCACAAGCAATTCTGCCTCCAAGTTGTGAGATGAAAGGTTTTGCCTAAATTACATAAGGAAATAAACAGTTGCTGCAGGGACAGCTTCCACTCTCAGCAATCTGATACCAGAGACGATGCCACTGTAATGACACTGACAATTCAGGCTGGTACAACACTGAATTCACAATTTCAAGGCACTTGAATGCATAAAAAGATTGCCCAGTGGAAGCGGACGCACAAACCTGTACTGTTTCCGAGTATCGTATCTGCCTGCGTTGGTCTCGCGGATCTTAGTTGCAAGCACCCGCACTATGTTCACGAACAGGATGAAGTTCAGCTGAAAAAGAGAGTGCAGAGAGAATGAATTGAATAAAAGGTGACAGCTAATAAAACCCTTTCTTCCACCTTAACACAATTCAAACAATTTGTGTAACTGAAAACTGTATTAAGGACTGAGGACTAAGGATTTGATGCATTATCAATAACTGGTCCCCAGCAGATGACCGTACAAGTGATTTGCATGCTTGGCTTTTCTCAAATGGGCTGCATGGGATGTCATTTGAAAAATGCTAATTTCCGTCTGCTTAATCACAATGAGTGGGATGTCTGTACATGAGATTTTGCGCTCATACGAAATCAATAAGACAAACAAAAATGCTGGTAAGTTGTGGTTTAAGGTATAGTTTTGTAATTCAGCAATTCACAAACAAAAACGACTCCGTTATGTATTATTTGGTGTAAAATTATTCTAATATTAATTTCTTTCGTTTTCTGTTGCATATGTAATTATCAGCTAAAAAAAGTGTTTTGAAAGCTAAGATTTAGATTGCTAAGTTAAGGGTGAATAATTACAAGCATCAGTGTTATTGAACAACATGAATTATGATGCAAACTGCATGAATAATGAACACTTAAATGCTTCCAAAAGACTAAGGTACACAAAATTATTTAAAGCTATTACACTTCTTATAGCAGTTCAAAACCACCAAAGTCAGTCACTTTATTGAAGATTTAAATATCAGAGGTAATAAAATTTGCTAATCTATAAGATAACTGATGTTCAGCTGCAGGGGCGGCAAAAGATGATTTGTGCAAGGTAAAGCTCAACAGACTGAGTGATATACACAAAATCAAATTAAAATGTTCTTTACACAGAGAAAAAAAGTTATTTTAAAAACAGTTCACTGTAAGTTTAACTATAAGTTTCTCTATAAGTTTCTAACAGAAATGGTTCTTCTATGTTATCGCTGCAAAAGCGACCTTTTGGAACCTTTATTTTTAATGTAGCAATGCATGAGTACACACATTTATATTCCTTAAAAATATAAAAGAGGACATTAACAGCACTGAAAGGACAAACAAAATGACTGTTTGCAGAAAAATCTCTTTTTGATGAAAACACCACATTCTTCTCCACACAGGATTCACAGAGCTCGTCTCTGACATGCAACAGGAAAACAATTATGTTATTCCAAATCACGGCAATCACACATTCAACCGACCTCTTCTACACAATATTACCCGCTATATGTACCATCTGTTCAGTGGGAGTATGAAAAAAATCGAAATGTGCTTTACCAGTGTGCAACAGATGAATCATCGTTGGACAGATTTTACTCCCATTAAACATCTGACTTTCCTATGTTATCCATCCATACACAATGGCCACAATGAGATTGAATAATATTAATAGTGTTAAATTATGTGTGCGTGTATGTGTGTGTGTTGCATCAGAATATATTATGTTATCTGAGTATTTTAAAATTGTATATCAGGAATGAGGAGATGCTTAGTTTTTAAGTGTGTGTAAATGTATGAAGCTGAATGACAGTGTGAAATATCATCTCAATATCTGAGTAGATCAGCATGAAATGGGGCTAAGGACCAGTCACTGATTTTTGGTCTTATTTCAGGGGCCAAATTTATGTAATTTAGAGTTAGAATCATCTCTTTGAAACCACAAACACCAACTTGTATCGCCCTGTGTGTGAAACTTGTAAAGAGTCCAGCTGTGCTGCCTGGAGCAAGTTAAGGCTGTGGAAAAAAACAATCTTGCTGTCTTTATCATCCCCATGGAATAATACATGTGCTTGATGTGCACAAAGCGATAAGTAAGCAGTTGGATATGATTAAATTTCTCATCAGTATGGAGATTATGTACAACTTCAACCAATGCAAACGAGTCTATTTACATATGCACACATAAGATCCACACATAAACACAACCCTCAAATGTTTAAAACTATGATGCCATAAAACTGCATCTATAATCCCCTATAATACATTAAAATAAAAGATCTATTTAATTAACTTAAATTACATTTACAAATTCAATGTAACAAAATCATATGCATATTAAAAAAAAAAAAAAATACACATCAACTTGGACGTACAACCACAATTTGGAATTCATGTACAAACGTTGGCACCTATTATGGAATTTTGAAAATTACCTTTCATATAGTGTGTAACATAGATCTAATTGAACAAAAACATCCTGCAAAGTTTTATATATGAAAGTTCACTGTAAAAAAAGTTATTGTCTCTCAAAAGTATGCGTCGACTCTTATGGAGTGAAAACAGTCTCAAAACCTTCCACAAATGCATGCGCACATGCGCGCGCACCAATCCACAAATGCACACGAGAGATCCACATGAGCACGCACCAATTCACAGATGCTCGCAAAATCCACACACGCAAATCAATCCACAGATGCACACATCCACACATGCAAATCAACCCACAGATGCATGCAGGAGATCCACACACAACGCAATCCTGTAATTTCATTCACAGCAAATCACGTGACTTTTGAGACTGTTGTTCCGCTGTCTTGATTCACAAATGTGCACAAGCCTGTTCCATCTTTTTTTACGCAATGTGTTATACGGTGTATCTTTTCCACCGGCACCAATTACGGCAAGTAGTATTGTTAAATATTAATAGCTATTTACAGTAAGTGTAAAAGATGTAAATAGTGGTAGATACTATTTGCTTCAAGTAAAAAATAGTTAAGAAAAAAAAAAACTATTATTTAATTATGAATTATTACTGCCAACAAGGCTGACTATTTGCCCTAAATGTAAATAGACGTTGCAGACACCAGCCATACCCATCAAAAGTCCTGGCTTTGCATTTTGCCAGCATGCCTGAGAAAAACATATATTGTTACTTGGCATCAGTACAATCAAAGTCTTTCAGAAAGTTTGTAACCCAAGAAAAAGATTTGTTGATACTGTAGTCTGGTCCTGTCGAGAGACATCTGGAGTCAGAGCATGTGTCCTGCTCACAGAGTGTCATGATGGCATCATCTAGGTGAGTGGATGTGGCCAAAATATAATTGAAAGCTGCAGACACCTCAAGCTGAGTCATAGGAAAGTACCCAGTGATAGGCTTTTTTTTTCCTTCATTGGGGGACAAGCAACGAAGGTTAGGATTCAACGATATGGTTTGTGCAGTGTTGTAATTTAGCGCTTAAAAAAAATAGCGGATATCTTCGAAACCGCTAGTCCGATCAAGACAAAACCACCGTCAGAAGTTTGTAAACATAGGTCGCTGGCTACACATCAATGCCCAATGGGATAGTGAAATTCAATCAAAGTCATTTGTCTGTCATTTTTGTGTTTTTTTCTTTTTTTTCACATAAATGTCTATAACTTTGAAGCGATTTGAGATATTTTCAACAAAATTGACACACAGATGTATGGGCTCACTCTGAGGACACATAAAAAATGGTGGGACTGAGCCTCTTGCTGGCACAATAATAGAACAAAATGTTAAATTGACCCTTCGCTAAGCCCCGCCCTCCCTAGTTACTGTTGCTACGCCTGTCAAGCTTTCGCGGCTGGCCCATCTATTATAGTGTGGATGCACCCGGTGTCAGACATTCCCAATGAGATAATTAGTCATTTTCGGCGAACAAGTGAAATATCTGAGAGAGCAAGACAAAAGGGACTACAGTATGCATTCGAGGGATATATTCACGACATTATATGCAACCGATTAGAGAATAATTTCTTAAAAATTGAAGTTAAAGCCTAACGTTATAGTCCCAGCGCAAGCAGCAGCGCCTCATACGCTGACCGTTCAAATGGGAAACACAAATTGAGGAACAGCTATGTTCATACACAGCATGGTATGTGAAAATAATCTTAATAATTATAAATCAAACAGCTTATCAATAAATCTTGTGGAATAACACTAATAGCGGGAGAGCCGCGATCGGATTGGGTTAAGTTAAGGGGTAACGTTAGTAGGACGTCGATTAACAAAATGCTGAAATATATTTTAAAGTATGTCAGTGAGCCTTTGTCTTGTCTCTTTAATCGTCATATTTTACATTATATCATTATGACCAAAGAACCGTCAATATTTACAAGCAATAGGTGTTTTTGTTAAGCATGTCGACATTTACCATTAGTTGTGAATGGGTCTCGCGCATAGATGCTAGATCACGCCAATCATTTCTCCCCTTGGCTTTTAGATTTTCTGGAAGGAAAACAATTCCTCTCCCCCGTCCAAACTTTTAGTATACCGGTATCAGATTTGCACAATCCATACGCACAATGCCTCAGCATGTTCCCTCGTTCGAAAGCTTGCCAGACCTCCCACGCATAGTTATGTTGCTAAGACATGATTGGCCATTGGCGGTTTTCCGGCGTGGCTTAGCGAAGGGTCAATTGCCATTGAATTCATTACAGTTTTGTGATTATTGCTATACTTAAAGCTGCTGTAGGTAACTTTTGTAAAAAAAATATTTTTTACATATATGTTCAAACTGTCATTATGTCCTGATAGTAGAATATGAGACAGATAATCTGTGAAAACCAAAAATTTAGCTCCTCTGGCTCCTCCCAGTGGTCCTATTGCCATTTGCAGAAATACAACGCTCCCGTCAGAAACAACCAATCAGAGCCAGGAGGAATGTCTTAGCAGTGTCAATCACGCTCGTGTACGCGTTGATCACACCCCTTTCTTGCACAGCGCGAGCGCGTGCCGTCGTTCAAACTCAAGATTGACGGAGAAGACCGAGACGGAGAAGTACCCTAAACTGCCAATTCTCGAGGGACACCTGCTCATAAAACAAAGAGGTAAAGGGAAAAAGACCGATGACGATAAACAATCTTGTCTAATTTGTCAGCCCATTGTAGCCGCATAACATGTTGATAAAATGTCACGGACTCTGCTAAGCAACAATTGAAACCTGCTGATTCACTGGCTTGTCATGTTGCTGAAATAATGTACTAGCACACCTTATCTAGCATTACATATCGCTAGAATAATTACTTACATACTGTAAAGTTAGTTACCGTTATATTAACGTTATCTTACTAGCTATTTATAACTTATAGAAAGAGTGCAACATAAAGTTACATGTATTGGAAAATACATAAGGATTTGAGGACCAAGTTTGTTGCCAAAGTATGGGCAGGCCATAGTCAATGTAAAGCATACTGTTGACGTTTAGTCCCTATTAGTGAATGTGCCATATAACTTTTTATCCGCCATTATCCCTGTTTACTAGCCTGCGCATTCACGGCCGGCTCTGCTGTGGGGGACGAACTGTAGAGCAGCAGAGTGCAAGGGGGTGGGACCTGTAAGTTGTGCTAGCTTGTTCAAATTTTCAGACTAAGTCAATGTTTTCTCAAAACTCCCTACCGCAGCTTTAACAAATGCATTGGTGTAACATTACGAAACTCAATGTGTGCATAAGCAGCATGCCCTGAAGGTACTCAAAAGATTTTGAGACAATAACACCTTTTGGTCAGAAGTTATAATTATTTTCCGAAAATGCTAATAATTTTTGAATAAATTTGCCTATTGTAATGATACTTGTCTTAATAGATTCCTTGGGTCACTCCAATAACACAGATACCAAGATTGCCGTATTTGGATGAACTTGCTGTCCTCCATCTTTATTTTCTTTTAAAACCTTCTTTTTGGAACTTCTCACAGCATCAAAGTATTCAGGCTTTATCTCTGTAATGCCTAATGTATAATTGTCACAGTGAAATCATTTTAAGTTACTGAATATATAATTTAAGCCATTTTGTCTAAATTCATCTTTAAATATCTTTAATTGCTCCTTGCTGCAGTTGGTCTGAAACTCCCAGCCATGTTGGCATGTTTTGTCGACTGCTTTTGCACTTGGCCCCGTAATGGCTGCTTGCGGCTATATTTGCAATAGATTTTAGTAAAAATGTGCTGTAATTTTGGTCTTTTTCTATTTTTTAGAAAGAATACAAAAACAACAAAAATGAGATTTTGTCATTTTTTTCACGTCGTTCCATACCTGTATGACATTCTTGCTTCTGTTGAGCATAACAGAAAATATCTGGTTAGTTACAAAACAGTTTTGGCCACCATTGACTTCCACTGTATGGACCAAAAAATTCCAAAAAACAAGTTTATTTTATATATTTTATTTTGTTATTTGTGGAGCTTAATCTATCACCATTCAACAGAATGCAACATCTTTTGTTCAACAAAAGAAAGAAAGTTTTAGAATGAAATTAAGGTGAGTAAATGAAAACAAAATATACAGTATGTCTATGGTTAAACAAACCTGTGGAAAGTTGTTAGAATCAGAGAGTATACCATCACATTTGGTTAGATGCTCTGACTTGTATCGCTTTGGGGAAACTCTCTCTCATGACTCACTTGCCTGGCCGAGTCGATTCATTCAGTCACTTCAGTGAGATGCGTTAGCATCTGTGGATCCATTACTCTCACAGCTCTCCACTCTATTTATGGCAGGGCACTCAGGAATACATCAGCAGTGACCCTCTCTGCCACCTGGATGGAAGTAGATTGGCCAGAGAGCAGCTAGCAGCAGGAAATCAATGCCAGCTGTGAAGGCTGGAGCCTTATAGAAACCATTGTGTCATGTGACCAAACATCAAAGTGCTGAAACACGCAGACTGGTGAAGAACAAATCTGTGCCAAAATAATCTGAATGCTAAGTGAAAAGGGTAAGTATGTCACTTTTCAAAGTTTGCTAGAACTGGATTTTAGAGTGGAAAATGGGTGTTCAATTTCAATGGCCTTGATTTCAAATGCAATCACAATATGCATTTACAATAGTTTAGAGTTACAAAGATTTTAAAAAGTTTTCGAAATAAGCCTCTTGTGCATAACAAGTCTGTATTTATTTGATCAGAAATACAGTATTGTGAAATATTATAGCAGTTTAAAATAACCTTTATATTTTAATGTATTGTGAGCTTAGAATTATAAGCTTCTATCTCCACTTTTGGTCGAAATTGAGTTTGCCATAATCTGATCCATTAGGTGTTTATTAATGCATGTGTGGTGTTATTTTTGTAAAAAAAAAGAAAAAAAAAGAAAAAGATTAATAGATAAAGCTATAAAAGAAAACATAACAGTTTTACCAGCTGGGATGTAAAAACTTTGATGCTCAATATCTCGGAACTACCCTAAACGGAGATAGAACCTTATAATTCTAAGCTCACGATATTTTGAAATTTTGATGGCAAAGCTGAATTTTCAGCAGCCATTACTCAATATTGTTTCTTCATTAATGAACAACAACAGCAAATAAGTAATGAGTAATGCAATATTAACAATCTAGTAAGATTGTTAATATTGCATTATTAAAAAAACCTCTTAACGAATAAGCAGGTATAGGGCTTCACTTTATTTTACATTGTGGACTTGTACATATTTCACAGTGTATTTACCTAAGAAATTACTGGTTTATATAAGGTAACTACATGTGTTATGGTTAGGTTTAGGTTTAGGGTTAGTACGTAGTTATTACCCAGTTTTTGTAATAACTAAAAAATAAGTACATAGTACATGGCAGCCATTGGGGGAACATGACTGTAAAATAAAGTGAGTAAAATCAAGTTAAAGGGATACTTCTGAATGAAAATTCTGTCATCATTTACTCATCCTCAATTTGTGCAAACCTGTTAGTAGTAGTTTCTTTCTTCTGCTGAACACAAAGTAAGATGTTTTGAAGAACGATTGGAACCAAACAGTTGTTACTATGAAAATACCATGGAAGTCAGTAGTGCCCCACAACTGCATGTTTTTTTTTTTTTTTTTTTTTTTTTTTTTTTTGCATGCCTCCATGAGAACTAAACTATCTACGGTTTACTATTAACATTTAACTATTACAATTTAACCACTTACATCATTAAGTAATAAGTTAAGTATTGTCATCAATACCCATTGTTAGAATGATGGTAACACACCAGGCTAGGGTTGGGTGTTAGGGTTGGGGTAAGTAAAATACGTTGATGTAATTGCAAAGCTACTTATAGTCAACAAAATGTCTGGTGGTAGGGACCATCAAAATTAAGTGTTAGCAGATATTAAACAAACTAGAGTTGGTTGACATGTAGTTGCAAAGATACAGTAGAATGTCCAAAGTGGACATTTGAAAAAAAGTGTAGTCTGATTTCAAACACAAACCAAAATCACCTTAAACAGCAAGACAGTAATTTCATGAGAAAAGGTCTTGAGCCTCCACTTGGTTTAAAATATTATTTGATGATTCTAATGATTGCTTTTTAAGTGTGATTTTTAAGTGTTCAAATACTTTTTGGGGACCATTGCACATCACTTGTATCCATGGCTGATATTAACTTGGCAGTTGACTGCTTGGGAAGTTTAACCAGTAGCTGTAAACAATCACTTAAATTCAAGAGTGATGAATAAATCCCCAGTTTTTAAATCAAAAATCATTTTTAAATGATCAGAATGAACAAAAATGGAGAACTTGGGTTAACGTGGGGACCCCTGCTGAGACTCTTCAGTTTCTCTGCCCATGTCTGAATCATGTTATCGCCTGAATCCAATAATTGACAAAACTGGAAGAAACACACACGCACACTCACATTGTAATTATGGTAATGTTCTTGCCAGTTATTCTGACATTTGCCTTATATGGTAAAGTTCTTTTCATCTTGCAGTGTTGAATAACAGAAAAGAGAAAACTTAGGCTAAAGTTAGACAATTTCTCGCTCAGAGTAAATTGCATCAGTCTTTGAACTGCTTCCCAGGCTGCCTCTTCGTTCTTACGCCGTGTTTATTAAGGGACTGACAGTTTTTCCACATCGCTTTTACTCACCCCAATGGCTGTCAGAATGGGGACCTGGTAGATCCATTTGATGTTTCCTGCACTCAGCTCCCAGCATCTGCACAGAAAAAGACAGATCGAATGATAAATGAACTGGCACACGTGGATTATGATTCAATGGATATTTTAGAAGGCATAGATCGAGTTGGAGAAAAGCAGATAGGTTTCCAGTCCTAGAGGCAGTGTAGTAATGATACACTGTACTTCACAGTAGCCTACTACTGTATAGATCAGAAGTAGTCTCTAGCTCTCCTTGAAGTCACTGACCCCCTCCTTCACATTGAGTAAGCTCAGGCGCTTTATAAAACTCATTTCCATTTGTTTACCACCAATTTGTTACGCCATTCATAATCCAATTAGTAATGCTTAGCAGCTGAATGGATAATCTACCATGCAGAGGATTTTATCCATAAATAGGATATACAGTAAGTACTCAGAGGGTTGCTGAATGCATGGCCAGTCTGGAGCAAAACTAAAGAGTCATAATGAACATTTGTTAATAATTACATTCATTATAACCTTTAGTGCTAGACAGTTACTAATGGGTACTGCATGCAGAGTATCATGTGATAGTCAACTCTACTTTCATGTAAAAGAACAAAGAAAGGAGTAACAAGGACTAATTAAAATGAGACTGTCACTGCTTTTTAAGTAGTAAATAAGACTTTAATGCGCAGAGAGATACCAGGAAACCCTGGAGAACCATTTGTGTGTACAAAGAAAAGAGAAAAAAAAAAGAGAAATACTACCCATAATCAACAACAACAAAATAATACGATCCTCGGACCACTTCTGGTAAATTCTCAACACTGCTGACAGGGAGAAACCCACAAGCCTTCCTTTTTCAGAGACACTCTGACCCAGCAATTTGGCCTTTGTCATAGTCGCTCAGATCTTTATTCCTGTCCGTTTTGGATCATCAGTGTATTAAATACTTGCAATATAGTGTATAAGACTTGAGAAATTAGATAAATGCCAGGCAGTCTACTTGAGGAACAACCACTCCCTGAGAAGACAAAGGACCTTTCTGGAAATTAACATTTGAACTCTCTACTGTGAAGGTAGCATTACCAATCGAGACACGATTGTCTGGATTGATAAAGCAAAAGGTAATAAGTTATTAAGAGTTTTAGGGATAACCTGTACACAAAGGAGGGTGTGTATTCCAAGCAAATGGCACTCTGCCCCCAAAATGTGTAAACTCTGAATGCAAATTGCTATTGTTAGCTATAATGTTATTGTAACTATTGCTATTGTTGTCTGTCTAAAAAAAGGAACAAAAGGCTCGGTGCGATTTGTAACTCAGATTTTCCCACAATGTTGAAGGACATCAGGGCTTCAGCATTATGTATTTTTCTAAATATTGGGTTTAACCTACAACTTTTACCCATTTGATGTTATTGTATTGATTATCTTTGATAATCTGAGATGAATGTACTCTGAAAAAATGTCAAAAAATCAAAAAATGTACTCTGATCAATGAACAGCATTAATAAAGTCCCATTAACTAAAAAAAAGTTGGTTTTAGGGTTTAGTTACCCTTTAAGTCACTAATTTCTGAGAATCAGTTATTACACACTGATTCTTTTAATGCACCAATTCAAAAAAAGCAATTGCATTTCTTGCATTTTACCTTCTTTAAAATTTTTGTGAAAATATGCAGATAAATAACTGCTTATTAATTAGTATTGTTTATATAATTATTGAATTCATATAAATAACTAAACAAATTTGTGCTGAATTTTACTTTTCGCATTAAACAAGTATAATCTAGTTGTTTATGCATTGTTTATGCTAGGTCAAAATTATGCTTCCTCTGACTAAAAAACAACAAAAAATAGCAAAGTACAGTATTGTACAAGTATTGAGATGTGTGTGGAATATCAAACACCCAGACAACATTTGCATTTACCAATTTGGCAGCCAGTGGGTTGTGATGCATTCAAGGTACACATTTTATCAGAATGTATATGTTCCCTGATGACCTCCGCTTTGTTATTGCAACAAGATAAGCTACAGGAATGCAGATCAAGACTTGAGAGTACCTGTAATCTTCTTCACATTTGATTTTCAGAGTGGAACATCTTACAGAAATGCAGAAGCCCATTAACCCACCATCACTGAGAACTGACAAATGTCAAGATCATTTACAGAGCTCTCACTTCTTGCCTTGCCAAAATGAGCATTTAATATGTAATTTACTCAGGTAGAATATAAGATCAGTGAGTCATAAAATAGAAGCTATTTTTATCTTTAATAAGGAAGCAAAATCAAATAAATTCAAAGTTGGAAAATTCTAATTCATCATATAGTATTGTCAGTCTCAAAACCCATCACACTAAAAAGCAATTATTATTGATACAATCTTGATTTACTGTATTTCGTTTAGATTAGATTACTAAAAATATAGTAATGGTTTTTCAAACATTTGTTTATTTATAAAGTTTAAAGTGCATGCGACAAAACAAGCAAGAACTCTGAATATTTTCATTGTTTAGATTCAATTATGCAACAGATAGTTCCAGTCAATACATCTGATTGATGAAACAGTGTTCCATGAAGAATTTACTTTATTTTTACTCTGCAATGAAAATAGTCCCAAAAGAAGCTAAGAAACACACAGACTGGAACTCAGTATGTACAGTAAATGGAGAGTTTCTTGCTCAGTGGTGAGAGAGAAAAATCACTTTGCTGCTTCAGAAGGTCTCAGGTTACAACTATACCCTTGCTCCCTGAGATGGGGACGAGAGTATGCTTTGCGAACGCTTCTGTGTGACTGAGTCTGAAGCACGTGTGTGAAATCAGTCCAATGGTGAAATGTTACATCACAGACTGGTGACGTCATGACCAGGAAGCATAAAAGTGCATCCGGAATGGCCAGCATTAGCTTCAGATAGCCAAAGCAAGTCAATCACATGGTAACTTACTCGTGTTGTGTCAATTATGCTTTGGAAACAGAAATACACAAACCATCATGCTTACAAACGTTTGTCTGTGTGAATTTTGTGAGCACAACTAATAAAGAACTTGTGAATCTGGGGCAGAGCCCAGGTCCAGATTGTAGAACCACATTGCAAACATCTTGAAGGGAAACCCCCAAAAGAAAGGCATTGTAGGCCGCCATACTGGCCAGATACCTCATAAGCAAGATAAATAGCATTGACTATCAACTTGTTTACTGTCTGATTGGATACAGGAAGTCCTTTATTAGGCGATCCAAAACAGACACAAACTTGATCAGTTTTCCTCCACAGGGTAGCTCTGTGGACATAAGCATCCAGCACTCACTGGACACGCAAGGTTCAGCTTTTCCTGGTCCTGATCTATGAAGGGAGAACTTCTTGCCGCACATCACACGCTTCTTGCCATTCAGCCTTACCCCCAACTTTTGCATGTGATCGAGAATGACATCTCAATGCTGAACCACCATATACTCAGATTGAGCTAGGATGAGCAAATCGTCTATATAATTCAACATATGGATGCCCTGGAATCTCAACGGAGCAAGAGCCAATTCCACACATTTTGTGAAAGTGCGGGGTGCTACGGCTGGACCGAAGGGAAGAACCCGATACTGTGTCCGGTAAGGAAGGCATTGCCTGAATGCTGCCGTCTGTTTCTTGGGCTCCTGACACCTCTCGACGACTTAGCGGTCGCCGAAGAGGCCAGGTGGAAAGAGCGGAGCATTAAGCAGAAAATCTTTGTCTTTTTCTTTTATATCTGAAAGACTTAGCCAGAGATGACTCTCCATGACCACCAGGGCTACCATAGCTGGACGATACCTCTGGCCATTTTCATTTTCAAATCTGTGGACCGACCAAGGGGGTAATCCATCAGCCGGAAATTGAAGCCTCGCGGGAGCCACTATTGTAGCACTTCACCTGCATGCTGTTAGCATCCCATTGACTCCCATTCATTTTGGTGTCACTTTGACAGCGAATAACTTTTCATCTGAGGCATCCAAAGACTTAATTTATTTCTAAAGAAACACGACAATGTATATAATATTCCATTACTTTGTATCTTTCGTTACGGCCCCATAGAAGCCGTTTTTGTAAAAATAGGCTAAAGATCGAGTCATAACCACGGGACTTTCTGTCGCACAATAGAAACATTACCGTATAGACAGGAGGAGAAGCTCGCAGGCAATCTTTTACTGTCTATGATGTAATCGGGGGGACATGGAGGCACAAAGTCAAGGTAGCCCATAAATAGAGCCTATAAACAGAGCCTATAAATAGAGAGTCCATAAAAGCAACAGGATAAAATATTTCAACAATGTTTTTGAGGAATTAGGTGATTCAGATTTGTCTTGGCACAGTTACTAGAAGATTTACCACTGTCAGACGGTCGTCAAGCTCAGTTTGATCTGTCGCTCAGACATCAGACAGGAAGTGCAATAATCGGGTTTCAGTCTTCTCCGTTGAAATCAATGGGGTCGCTGTGTGCATTTCTTTTACTGTCTATGGGCCTGACACAGTTCTCGAATACCATCGGCCCTTGCCTTCATCGAGGTCTTTTAGCAGGTCGATCTGTTCTGGTATGCCTGGAGAATAGACATTGTGCACAGACATGCACCATCCTGACCTGCTGCTTTACCCACCAAAGCTAATGATCTTCTGAGTGGCTTAGTGGGTGGTATCATGGCCTTCAGGGACAATGTCATACAACATACTCTTTCAACCCCCTCATATCAGAATATACATGGACTTAGGCACTGAAAATAAGGTCGGGAAAAAATGGAAGGCCCCAGGAAGGAGGTAAAGATTTTGGGGAAAGGAAGTACTCGTCCAGTTTCATTTTCAGACGAGAGCTTAGCTTCTCGGCCCGCCAGTAGATATTTAACTTCTACGGCAAGAGTTGGCAAGAGTTATCACCCCCACCAGCTCCTCATTTGCAGGGGACAGAAGTGATGAGTCTTGCATGTTCCCTGCCCTGATCCTCAGCACATCCACCTCCCCAGAGCTTACACAGCTGAAGTACCAGGCTCTCTCCCCGGGCGGAAGAAGCCGCAGCAAGGGCTTCTGATCCCAGCGAGAGAGTGCTAAATTCCTTGAGTGAAGGCAGAGCCTCTCCGCGAGATCCATTTGTAAACCCCACGATCTCCACCTCCATGCAGCAGTGGTGCCAGAACCACGGGGAACGTGAAGCTGAACACTCTCCTACTGTAGAACACTGACAGGCAGGAGCAGCTCGTGCAAAGCGGTAGTCTCTCACAGTGCTCACAATCAGCTCCCTGCTAATGCATTAAAGTAATTTTGCTTGCCTCATTCTTTGTCAGATCTTCTCCTGTATGTGCCACACAAACAGTTAGGAAGATATAATAATAATAATAATGAAGCTCGCGTCTTATGTTAATTTCATAATATCACCATATTGCAAAATATAAATTTCAGAATTTGTGAAATTTGCTAATAATTTTAAATATTGATTTAATATTATAGCATATGACCCCCTCTAAACATAACATGCAGTGTTGACTCTTTTTTTAGATACAATAAAGATAAAACCTGTGATAAGCTAAACTAGGTCACTTTAACAACACAAGTAAAAAAGAAACACCACAGCTAAAACAAAGCCTTATGTTTATAAAGAATGATCTCCCCAGAGAAGCAGCAAGTTGTTGCTTGAAGACATTTGCCTTTGTACAATGACTAACAGCATGTTAGCTGCAAGAATATAAATTGTGTTCTCGATGGTAGTGAAACAATGGCATTCAGCAAGTGTTTGAAAATAAAACAGGGAAAAGATCATGCCTCTAATGCCCTTAATGGCACAGTCTTACATCAATCTGACATTAAAACACTACTTCATTTAGATGATCTGGTGAGAAATAGCTTGAACATAAGTGGATATTTAACATAAAAACACAAACATTTACAGATATACAATATTTTTTCCCTGCCATTAAACATTTTGAAGGGTTGTTTCGAATGGGGGTAACTCTTATTAAAAAATAATAAGATATCAAAAAGCTAATATATATATATATATATATATCGTCGAGCCATTTATGTTTTTTTTTACTGTATCTTTCATGAACGGTGCCACACGAAGGCTCTAGTGATGTCTGCCATCATTTCTACAAAGATGATGAGGACAAGAGGTCAAGTCAATGAGAAAGAACACATGAAATCACCTTGCATCCGCCAGCGTTGCCCTGACAACTGCCCATGCAGCAACAAAAAGAGCAGGAACACCTGAAATGAAAACAGGGGGAAAAGTGTTTCAAGGAAGGAACTGCTAGCAAACATTTTGCTGTAAGTGAAAACGATGGTAAAGCTAGAGGTTACAGTATATTATATATTGTTATAATATTATAATGTCACAGTCAAAATGTTTCATTATTTGAAAATTATGCTTCAGTTGACCATTTTGCAAATACATATCTAAAGAGAGAAAACTGGGTAAAGTTATTTGAGAACTTAAACTTTACTTACATAGCATCCTCTTCATATTAGGACTATCATAACGGGAATGCAACAGTACTTTGTTTTCCTAATAGGCTTTATGCCCAGCTGCACTACTTCCTGAACTTCAGCCAGCTCCTTGCTTCCTGTCTGTCATTATTGGACAAATTAGCAAGTGTGCCTGACCTCAGTAGTCATGGCAACAATAATCATACACACCTGAATAAATCAAGTTTGCCAAATAATGACAGACAGAAAACAAGGAGCTGGCTGAAGTTCAGGAAGTAGTGCAGCTGGGCATAAAGCCAATTTAGCATGCATTGCAGTAAACTACAATAAATGACGGGAACAAAAGCTAACATTGTGTAAATGGATGTTAAAATATCTTATTTTATTTGGGGAGGCACTGAAGCCTTCCCATGGGTTCTGGAGCCTTGATTTAAAGCCTTCCCATAGGTTCTGGAGCACCTGCGGAGGCTTGTAGTCATAGATTGACATCCTGTAGAGTAAAATTGATGAAAAATGCTGCTTGTTTACTTATTACCAATGGAGTGTTTTTCATTCTGAACACTGGACAGGAAGAGCATCTGTTCTGTCTGGCACATAGGAAACTATTGAATTTTTGGTTTCTGACAGAATTGCTATTATTATTTTTTTCACTTTGTATGGTTTGTCTCGATTCACAATCAGCCTTTGAATTTGAAAGCTGTTCAATAAAGTGTTGGAGGTTCCACGCCTATACATGCATGGCCTGGTGGCCAATCTTCATTGATTTTACATTCCATCAGTAAGAGCAGAGTGTGAAGGTTGAATTAGCAGAGCAATTGCACAGGTGCACATAAAATTTTGCGATCCTCACAACATAAGGAAGACGTTGAAAATAAGACAAAATGTTGGTGCGTGGAGCTTCACAGGGTCAGTATTCATTGTTGGCCCCGCTAACACAATTTTGCCTTATGGTTGCTTGCAAGCAATGTCGGTAACACTTTATAATAACTACACGCTAATAATCATTAGTTAAGCATGAGTAAACCATTAATTCATCATCCATAAAGCATTAATAGACATTAATAAGCAGTTCATAAATACAGCTATAAATGCTTTCTTCTTGATTTTAAAAGTATATCTATAATTTGTTTAATAATTGTATTTTCATCCTTTATTAAAGATCAATTTATCATTTCTAAATGAAGAATTGCATTTTTTATTAACCAGTTATTTAAGAGTTTTCAGTGGTTCATGCGATTACTTAGAGCGAGTAAGTAAATGATTAATAAACTATTTAAATGTACATTCATACATCTTATTATTCAGACATATAGTGATGGTAACTTAATGTGTTAATAAATGCTTTATTAACATGTATTAATGTTGTAATTAAGGGTTAATTTGGGTAGTTATAAAGCATTTAGTAGTGGTCAGTTAACTATGTTCGTGAGCTCATCTAAAGTGAGGACTAGTCATGCCTTGTAAAGCATATTTTAAAGGCTGTTAAATATTTCTATGTTCTGTATCACTGTTGTGTTTGTTACATTTTACTGTTTAGAAGATTGACGAGTCTTTAAATCACCTTTATAAATGCTTTACAAAGCATGAATAGTCCTCACTTTAGATTAGCTCACAAAAATAGTTAACTAACCACTACTAAATGCTTTATAACTACCTGTATTTACTACATTTACTTACACTTTCTAAGTGATCTTATGAATGACTAACAACTCTTAAACAACTGGTTTGTAAATAATGCTATACTTCATTTAGAAATTATTAATTGATCATTAACAAAGTATGAAAATACAATCATTAAACGCATTATAGATATGCTTATAAATCAAGAAAAAACATGTATAGCTGTATTTATAAACTGCATATTAAAGTCTATTAATGTTTTATAAATGATGAATTAACTGTTTACTCATGCTTAATGATTAATAGTGTGCAGTTATTATAAAGTGTTACCGCAATGTCTCTTTTACAATTTTGGTCTGGCTACTTGCTCAAAGCGCTGTACATGCTAAGAAATAATTATTCTTCTGTGGCCATGGAAGATACCCTTTTCTTAGAATAAATTAATAATCAAAAGAGTTTGTTGGATGAACTGATTTATTGATTTTAAGATTAGTTTAGCCATGTCAGGTTAATCCAAATCCAATAATATGATTTGTGGCAGCGTTGTCACGCAGCTCTGCTCTGAAACTCAGACTGAGCGAAAATGACAGCCCATTCTCACCCCCAAGGCGTCACCTAACTGACTTGACTGATTTGACCATGCTTCAATATCTGACGCTTTAGGCGCCCTTTAGTGTCAGTTAGATGATGCCCTAGGATCGCGTGTACCCTACCCCACCCCAGACGTAAATCTAACCGCGTCATCTAACTGACGCTTTCCTTTAGCGTCAGTTATGACGCCGTAGGATCGCGTTATGTAAGTGACGCTAAAGGGCGCCTAAAACGTCAAATATTGAAGCATGGTCAAAGGTGACGCCTTGGGGTGAGAATGCGTTGAAAATGAAGCTTCGCAACCTCGTAACTAAAAAAAAAAAATGTTACTCTTCTGCTCTCGGCCAATGCTTTGCTGTCTGCTGACGTACAGTCCAATCATAAGTCGTATTTACTGGAAAGGTGGGACCGACTGCTCCGCCATGACGAAAGCGTAAATATGTCCTTTGCCACAATGAGTATGGCATCACACAGGATGGTTGAATTACCTTTTCTTAGTTTCAGTTTCCTTTCCATCAAATAAATATGAATCCGTTTTGTAAGATATCATCATTGTGCCATTAGGCATTAAAAGATATTAGGAGCTCAAATCCACAACAATGAATTACATCACTCATCCTTTGAATATTGAGGATTTCCCATCATTAACATTATTTTAACTGTATCAATGTGACATTATTGTGTAGTAGTTTCACAGACTTAACCCTTAGGCCATTAATAAGCCATGCCTAACACATTCAAGAGAATGTGTGCAGTCGCTCCTAGAACAGGGAATCTGCATATCAAAGGTACCTCAATCGCTGTGCTTCCACTACGAACACATCAAACAGGGATGACAAATAAATAAAGAGCACTTCAACTTGAAAACACTTGAAAAGGAAGCAAGCAACCTCTCAAAACAAACTGCAGTGAGCTATCATTGTGCTGTTTCTCAGTGTGGGAGCGAAGGAAAGGGTATGAATACCACTTGCTAATAATAACTTATTGGTTTCCATGTAGTAATTTCTCAAAGGAATACAAAAGATGCATATTCAAAGAAAGAAGATAGCATTTCTTTCCTTGATAAACAAGACCTTCACATGACAGAATATATAGGGGGTGGCCAACAGCCAAGATCCCTGTTGAATTGTCTGTTGCTTTGACCATCATAATGAACTGCATAAAGAGAATGATTCTGCTGTCAACAGTTAACACAGTTACTCTTCTTCATATAATTAGTCATAGTGTTTAAATCAGAAGGCTGATGAGAATTGACTTAATGAGACCTTGTTGATATGTATTTCTCAAATATCCCTGTTATTGCATCTGTGTGTTTGATTGTGTGATGTGAAGGTTTAGCTGGCTGAAACAAGTGATATTTTTAGAGCTCATTAAATCTTTCATAAAAAAAAAAACTTGTTTATTTCTTTAATGTTTTTTTTTGTCTTTTCAGCAAAGGAATGTGTAATGAGAAACAATGATATGTGTAATATAATGTAATGTAACGTGTAATGACGACAAGAAAATTAGCAGATTTGTCGTATATTTATTTATCCATGCATAATAATATTTGAGTTGAAATATTTTAATACAAATATTTTTAAAAAGGTAAAAGTATTATACAAATACTAATTATAATAAAATCTAAAATATTTTTAGATGCTGTGACTGGCCATTTTAACTTCGCCACTTTTTTTCAACTCTTTAACTTCACTAGTTTGTTTGGAATGGTTCTGCAGTGTGAATTTTTATTAGCACAAATATTCTACATCTCCCAAGTAATACGTCATGAAAATTGCATACATAATTTAATGCAATTAAATGTAACGTCACACTGCAGACCATAGTATAGTTTCCAACAGTTAACCTCCCATATATTATCCAATCAATTATAAAGTGGAGTCATTTTTATCTTATTAACACAAAGTATTTTTATATTATGTGGATGCATCAGACTGCAGACCTAAATAAATGAACTGGAAAGTAGCTACAGATTACAAATTAAATTCGTTTTTCCTAGTCAATTTGATCAAAAGTAAGGTCAATGCCCATGAAACAATTTACACAACGATTTAAACAGACTCTTCGTTTAGCCAAACAGGGGTGCGTTTCCCGAAAGCATCGTTAGCCAACTATGGTCGCAAGTTCCGTCGTTACCAATAGAGTTCAATGGAAATTGCGACCAACTTGCGACCATAGTTGGCTAACGATGCTTTCGGGAAACGCACCCCAGTTCGATTTAATGTTATAAGGAAGTATTGCATTCTTGTCAGCTGACACATTTATCACCAGCCAGTACTCATGTTAAAACTATTAGTGTTCTCTACTGATTACATATTTAGCTATGAACACTACTAAATAAGCACATTTATCTAATGTCCATAATGAAGATACACAATTCTGTATACTTCTGAAGTTGTACTTACATCAAGCCTCACAATTATGTTTGAGCAATTATGTTTGAGCAAATTATGTTCTACAGTATGTCGCCATCTCTGTTCGAAATCTGTAATTGCAGTCATTCACAGAACTATCAACTTAAAGTGAATTGTACTTCAACACCCTCGACATGGCACAGCGCGGATGAACACAATGTTTGAGGAGAGTGTGAGGCTGTCAGTCACTGCACCGGTGTGGATACTGGCATTCAGAATCACAGATTATTATTTTTGGAAGTATGACCAACATAAGAATTTTCACCGGGAAAATGTCATTTGAACTTGTAAGAAACATACACTTTTGTTCTGGTTCTGAGTCTGACATTGCAGTAAATCGCACTGATTAAAATTGAGTGCTGATTAACATTAACAATTCTCAAATTGTTAATGTTAACAATGTCAGCATTGTGTGACTACATGTAATGTCCTTCCGGTGTGTCCTTGTTTTCGCATGGGTCCGGCTGCAGTCTCTATTAGCCACTCCGAAGTCCGTACGAAGTCTTTTGCATTTTACTGTTGTCACTATGATTCTCATTTGAACCTTTCTGGATCCACCATCAAATTGATAAGTTTAATTATATCAAGTGCTGTGAGAAAAGGCTATAAATCTCCACCTACAACATTCTCACACGCAATATAGCTTTTACTAAAGTCAAGACTCCTTCATGTGTACAGATGTGACGTAATGATGCAAAGTCATGCTTGAATTTTCCACGGAAATCCACCAGTACCACTGGAATTAAAAACATTATTACAAGCTTACTGCTTTGAATCGAGCTACGGCAAGCAGATAGTTTTGAACACTGGCTGGTTATGTATTTTCTCAAATATGTATTTTGGATCATTTTTAACCCAAAAAAAGCTATGGACTGCAGTTTTAAAGGAAAAAAAGCAGTGAATATTTAGTGATGCTCAATATTTCTGCAGGCTATCTCTTGTGCTTGAACAAAAATGGAGAGGGAGTGACGAACTCCACCACTGGATCCAGAAATTGAGAATATAGTATATGAAGCACCAGGTGATACAAAATACATAAGACTGCACAGATCATGATTTGTATGCTTAATTGAGTGGCTATTTTGTTTAGTTTTTTCCCCCACTACTCTATTTACTTCCTCCCTGTGGTTTCCGTTTTCTATATTAATCTCTTCTCATTAAACACCTCTTCTTGTTCTACTTGCTCTTTCTCCAGGGTCCTCATTGTTGTTTTACTCTGGGCTTTAGTATATTTAGTTTCCTGTGTGGTGCGTATTACGTATGTGATTTCATTTATCAACATGCGACAGATCAGAGTACAATTTGTGGAGGGAAAAGTGCAAATAGTACATATATAGTGCAAAAGCTTGAACAAGCATGAACAAAGCTATAAACTCAGCAGATCAAAACGTAGCAGCAGCATTTTTTTTTTACCAAGAAATGTTACAAACCCAACAGAAGCAGGAATATACACAAATTACACAGTAGACATACTCACCCCACCCAATCAAAGTGAAGCCCCACAGGTATTTCGAGTCGGACAAGAAGGCCATGAAGATGAGACTATGCAGGTACAAGCCCTCCACCAGGATCCAGTAGTAGTTTGTAGCCAGGAAATATATGAACAGCAAGACGGTCACTTTACAACCCATCTGAAAAATAAGTGCGTAGCAAAAAAAGTCAACACACTTTTAAAACACATATCATATCAAAACGCATATCAAAAAATATATACTGTTTATACAAAACTGGTGAGCACATCCCAACAAAGTAACATAAACAGAAAAAAAGTGTCTGATGAAAACCTGATGGTCAAAACATTATGCTATTAATATTAATTAATATTTATAATTCATTAGAAACAGATATTGCACAGATACAGTGTGCGGACTTCACAATCAGTATCATCACATGGGCTTCTTTAGATCAAAGCAAAATTAATCAATGAGACTATCTAATGTCCTCTTATTTGTTTAAACACTGCATTAATTGTGAACTAAGGGCAGAGAGAGACATTTTTAAAACTTAATTTAAAGTTTCTCCAGAACACTAAAGCATAGGCTATATTATGAAGAATGTTTAAAATAACACCTTTGGATTTCACTATACAGCCCAAAACAATCGTTTGTGTTTCACAGAAGAAAGAAAGGGTCAACTGTCAGATTTAAGTTTTCTCTTTTTTACATTCCACTCATTGTCATGAATCCTCTTTTAGAATAATTAGCTTACTAACTTCATTTAAGATGAAATGACAGAAACACACTTTAGGACAGTAGAAGTGTGACAAAATGACAACCGTTGTCTACAGTCAGGTGACTGGCTGATTGCTGTAGGTAGACAGCTGCACTTTAATGAAGCTATTAGCTCACTGCCATGACAGATCGGTGTGGTTAATGGCCATAAAGCATTTCCAGACCAATGAACTGCATTAAAAGGAATTTCACATCACAAATATTATCAAAGGTTACAGATGGCGGATATATCCTCTTATTTTCTAGCCCCTCAGTAGACTCTTCTGCACGATGGTATTGTCTCAGGCAACTTATTGAAGTTATACCAGGAATCTTTTTCAAGGACTATTGAAAGACTTCCTATGTATGTTGGTGTTGCAAACTTTTTTCTTCTAAAGTGTAGGAAAACTTAGAAATGAAGACCAGGAGACTTGGTTGTATCTTCAGCAGGATTCTTCATTGAGAACATAAGCTGTGGGTAGCTGCAGTCATCGTCAAGTCTATGCCCGTTTCACATATACTCCATGTGCGTTTGCAGTGCACTACTGATCTGCAGTTTCTGTGTGCCACAAAATAAAAATTATGAAGTAATTCTGATTTAAAATCAACTCAAATTAACTTTGACATTAAGACATTGAAACAATACGAAAATTTAATTATAATTGTTTTACATGCAAAATTTACATTGATCCCCCACCCCAATATCTAACGTATTTTTTGAGGGGGGAAATCAAATATGATGGCATTTTGCATCTTTTGGGACTATAATCATATTTTTTTTTCTTGACTCTTTTGTTTTCCTGTAAATTAGTAACTGTAGAACATTAACTGTAATTATGCGTATATGATTAAGTTAATACAGTGTTAATGCGTTGCCACATTAATTCAGTGCGGTGCAGCACAGCAAAAATCGATACGGTGTTGAAACAATCTCTGCACCTGAACGGATCTAACCTGTTAACATGGGTATGGAAAAAAATACGCATTTCAAATGGGGTATGTGTGAAACGGGCGTAACTAAAGCAGTATATATTTGTAGTTTGTATACCTTTCAAGGGGGAGAGGATTACATAGAAGTGGAGACACTGTGAAACAAAGCATGTAAATGAAGCACAGGATTCAACTCATTACCGGAAATTCACCAGTCCTGATCTCATCAGCATAACAGTGTCATGTATAGATGGTGATCCAATCAACCTGATTAGATCACTCAAACCTTAACATTATCATAGAGACAAAAGGCCCAGCTGTACTTGTCATGATTTTGCCATCATGTCCATGGTTTCTCCTAGTATAGTGGCAGGATCATGACAGACCCATGTTTTGTGTGCAAGCGCATGGCCAGCTGTTTTGGCCATGTGCTTGTGTTGTCTCGTTTCTTTACTCCGCCCCCTTGTTATCCTCGTCTCGTCATTATTGTCTAGTCAGTCTCACCTGTCCTTGTCATTAGTGTCTCCCTATATTATTCCCCTTGTGCTTGCTGTCTTTTGTCGGTTCATTGTTAATCCATGCCAAGTTTGTGAGTACCTATCTAGAGTATTTGTCCTGTTATTCTATTGCTTGTGTCAGTCGTTTATCTAGTAGTATTTTGTCAGTACCTTGTCTAGTAAGTCTTTATAGTCCTTGTCAGAGTCTTGTTTTGCCCCCTCGTGGGCTTTGTTTTCCCCTTTTTGTCTACAATAAACTATCTGTCATTGCATTCTGTCTGCGCCTGGGTTCATCCGCCATCCACATCATAACAGTACTTTGAGAAGTGACAAAATGTTAATGTCAGCAAGCAGGATGGCTTGAGTTAATCTTTAAATCTATGCCTCAAAATGGAATACACCGAGTACAGTTTAAATACTATTGTATTGGAACCTAATTAAACATTTAAAGGGATTGTTCACTTTGAAGTAAATTAAAAAAATAAATAAATTCTTGATTTGTTTTAGCTTACCTCAAGGGCATCCAAGATGTAGGTGTCTTTGTTTCCACAGTATTTTCAATTTTGATATTTTTAGGTCAAACCGTTCTTGTCTGTCAGTCATATAATGGAGGTTTATGAAGTCCACCTCAAAGAGCATGCACAGAGAAGTCCAAATTAAACATGATTTAATGACTCGTGATTTAATTAATTTAATGACTTAATGAAATGTAAGTACACATTGATGACCTAAGGCACGAAACGAGCGGTTTGTGTGAGAAAACAAACAGCATTTATATTGTTTTAACCTCTTGATATCACAGCCAGGTGATCTGAAGACACGGGCGCTTCGGTCTGCGCAAGCTGTCCGTTGATATATCGAAATTGTCTTCCATTGCAATTTCCTGTATATCTAAATATGTTTCGTTCTTCACAGTGAAGGGTAACACTTCTGAAATCTGTGTGTAAACAATGAGTGACGTGCATGACGAGGATGTGACTGTGATAACAAGAGGTAAAAACTATATAAATACTGTTCGTTTTCTCAATCAAACCGCTCATTTCGTGTCTTAGGCCATCAATGTGTACTTACATTTATGAGTCGTTAAATCATGTTTAATTTGGACTTCTCTGTGCATGCTCTTTGACGTGGACCCCAAAGTTATTAAATGTAGCACTAGGATAAACTGGATTTTGATTATTGTTTTCTACAGCTGGCTACAAGATCTTTCATAAAGAGGAAGTGATTGAATTGTTTTCTTTTTAAATAAAACAAGTAGCCTCTGGATTCTAGGGGAGGATACTTATTCACTTTCTTTTTCTGACTTTGGACAGAAAACAGTGAAGGGAGCAAAGAGGGGAAAGTAGCTATAGCACAGGAAGCATCTTAGAAAACATTACCAGTGGCACAGTCCAATCTACACCTGAACACGTGACAGTAAATGTTCAGTCAAGTTTAAGGGGGCTTTTACATTGGGCTCGTTTGCTGCAGTCCGAGCACGTTTGTTTGGACCTTTAAAGATTTAGAATATTGTGAATATTATATAAAAGGCATACAGACTATTTTGCATATTTACAGTAAGACATTTTTACAACTTGGCAGCTCCTGTATGCTTTAACTAAACGGAAAAGTGTAGCATGAACTTTCTGCTAAACACCTTCTTTCATGCTCTACAGAAGCAAGAATGTAAGGTGGTTTTTGAATGACATGAGGGTGATTAAATGATCACAGACTTTTCATTTATAGGTTAACTATCACTTTAATGTTCTCTACTGTTCTTAAGTTCCCCCAAAGGAGTGCAACAACCCAAAGGAGCTGCTATTTTGAGTATGGACAATAACAGAAGTATTAACTCCAGACACATGAAAGTGACGGAAACTAAGGGTAACCTTGAGCTTCAGTGCGTCTGACAGATGTTCAAAGAAGCGCTGGAGGAAGGTGCAGATTATGTTGCCAATACACCTGGAGGATCTGAACAGCTCTCCTGAATGCCTGAAACTTTTGTTCTGTCTTTTATCTGTCCCTCTGCTGACAATGTACAACTTTGCCCTCTTTTCACAGTATTGATAAGAAACACATTGCCTATAGCAGACCACCACAGTGAAGCAGTAGGCACATGTTATAGAAATCAAATGAAATCCTATTTCAACAAGGTACTTCTTGAAAAACTGGACCTAAAAATGTTTTGCTGAAACAGCACTGTTGACTGCTATCTCCAGATCTCTTGATCTTATCATCTTACATCACAAAAACTTTTGTCCAATTTGGTTTAGAAGTAAATTGACAATTTCCTATTCTTGTTGCATGATGCAGATTCCAGTTATTATTAATAATGGAAAATACTAAATGCTACTGTACAAGTGGAAAAAAGTGCAGACTTTCCTTCAGTTCACACAATACTGAGAAAACCATAATGGGTTGAAATTAGCTATTTTCAAGCATGGGTTGAAAATAAAGAAATAATTTAGCCTTGGTCATACAGAGTTAACTCAAGACTAATAAATAACAAGAATAACTCAAATTATAAAATTAGAATGCAATACCCCAAGACTCTTGAGTCATTCTAAATCTTCTAAAATTGGCATCGTAATTTTGTACCAAGCATATACATTAGCTTATCAATAGTGATGTGCGAGACTATTCGACTAGTATGGCAAGCCATCTAGCTTGAAATGTACCCAGCTTTATACCCGGCAAAGATACGCAGTTCTCATTCCCTCTTACAGAGAGAACCAAGGTTACGTTAGTAACCGAGTACGTTCTCTTATGAGAAGCTCTCTTGTACTGCTTTATATCTTACGCTAGGGGAACACAGAGTAAAACGACATGCGTGCTGGAATCCAACACCAAAGACCCAACGGCAAGTGCCTGGGGCTCATATAGTACATAATCACCAGAGACTGAGGGTCTGATAAGAAAGGCTAGGTGGCATTCCCAATAAGTTGCATCCTAAGGGCCCAATAAGTTAGCGTCCTAAGGGAACTAATCACATTAACAGTGTTCCACACAGTCAGGGTGAAAATGTTCGGCCTGAACTGGGTAACAGTATGGGTCTTACTCATTGCCCATGGAGTTATTTTATCGATCAGCGAGTGGTGCTCAAGCGGTTTTAGTATTCTGAGCCTAAGTAACGGGCAGACAGTACTGATCTTTAGACCGAAAGTAGTTTAGCCTGTAAGGCGGGAACCTCTAGGTTATAAAATCTTATAAATGTAGAGGGGGAGGCCCAGTATGCCGCCATACAGATATCCTGAAAGGTAATCCTGCTAGTCCAAGCCCATGACGATGCCACGTCTCTTGTGGAGTGCGCTCTTACAACCAAAGGACACTGTGAATCTTTAGAAGTGTAGGCCAGCGCTATAGCATCAACTATCCATCTGGATAGGCTTTGTTTCGATGAGGCTACTCCCCTAGTCCTTTTAGAACGTCCACTAAACGAAACGAAGAGCTGCTCAGTCTGTCTGAAAACAGACGAGCAAGAGACATAAGCTTGCGTCTTTTTCCACATTGTAAACCCGCCAGGTCGGACAGGGAAATAACCTGAGCCCTGCACGGTGTGTTGTGGGATTTAGGCACGTACCCGTGTCTTGGTTTGAGTGTTACTTTCGAGTCATTTGGCCCAAATTCCATACTTACTGTGAGCTCTTGTAAATCCCCTATGCGCTTCACTGAAGCAAGAGTCATTAGAAACACTCTCTTGAACAACAAATGTTTCATGTCTGATAAATGGATTGGCTGAAACGGGGCACCTTTCATGGCTTCCAAAACCATGACAAGGTCCCACATGAGGACTGAAGGGGGTCTGGGAGGATTCAGCCTCTAAGTTCCCTTAAGGATGACCAGATTGTTCTTCCCCAGTGACTGGCCAGTCGCTGATTTAGTAAACGCTGCTATGGCCGCCACAAAAACCTTGAGTATGGATGAGGTTCTGCCCTTATCCAGTAGCTCTTGAAGGAAGAAGAGAACTTCCATAACCCCACAGTCTGGGGGTGAAAAGCCTCGAGCCTTGCACCAGCCAGAAAACACCATTTTCTATCCATGTTTCACGAAAACTATCCGTGAAATCTTTGATGAATGATCCAAAGAGGCCAGCTGGAGAGATGAAAGCCAGCGCCTTCAAACGCAAAGGCTCGTCCCGCAGAACGCTTTTTCTCAGACAGCACAGCTTCTTTACTCCGGATCCAACGATGCATGAGCTTCGCTGAAGAGATGAAAAATCAGATTACATCAGCACGTCAAGCTATATTTATAGACCCAGGACACGACCGCTTTGGCGAGAGGTGACGTAGTGGGCGTGACGTGCCCTTATTGGATCTGGCGTCACTAAGGGCTTCTCTCGATAGGCTGCTGCAGTTGCTGCAGGACAGCAAATAGGCACGCTAGCTGTCTTGCCTATGTTTGCATACTGCAGCAATGCGTTTTACGTTAATTCAAAATTTTTGGCTTCAATGTTTTGTGGAAAGGAGGTTTTCCCCTAGCATAAGATATTATGCAGTATGAGAGAACCTTGAGAATCCAAATGTGAGCCTGGTGTCTACTTTGAGAGGTCCTCACAAAGATCCTTGACATGATGCAGAAAGCATATATAAAGAGCAAATATTTGTCAATAATTGGGTCTGCTGCTCTGGTTCACTGAAGATAATGGAAGGGCAGGAAATGTCCTGCATGTTCCTTTAAATGAGAAATTTGCCAGAGTAATAGCCACATATTGATGTGAGCATTTTGGCTCATTGAGATACAAACACAACACATACAACAAAATGAATCAAAGCAAAGCAGTTGAGCCTTTTATTCTCTGAAGACACATTCAGTAGCTGTAACGCTTATGTTAGGTGCAAACAATGGATGCTAAAAGACTGGTAGCAAAATCCTCCCTCAGATGTTGCCTCCATCGTACTTATCTCCTACAACGCAGCTGTTTGAAGAAAAAGCTGAGGGTGCAGTCATTGAATCTCCAGTCTTGCCTGCAAAGGGATACAGTTCGGGTCTGAGCGTAGGTGGGAATGAATAATAATTTCCCACCCAAAAGACAGCAAATGGGGACAAGTGAGTTTTAACCTCTTTGCATGGATTGTTGAGGCTGGCCATGTGGTGGGCGTAGAGTACATAAAACACTCAGACATGCTGTGTATGAGGTGGAGATTGGAGATAGAATAGAACAAAAGTCCTCCACTTGGAGCATGACACACTGGACAGGATGAAATCGAGCACTTACAGCTTCTTGCAATCCAATAATATACTTCTAGCATTGGCATTTCTTCCGAGTCGAGACAGATCAGAACCTTGCATTTGCATTAAAATATTTATTCTCCACCATAATCAGAATTGAAGTCAAACCTCACCAAGATGTAATTTTATTCAGACCCAACTTGACCCCTTTCAATTTCCGCTCTACTAGGCTTGTTTAACACTTCACTGTGCCTCTATGTAGTGTTAAAGCTGTTGATTTATGCTTCTACAATGATTTATGCTTCTGGTCATTCAAGAGTTAATAATTCAAATGCCACATTTTGCACACAGATACATCTACAAATTTGTCACAGCTCATGGAATATGTATAAAAAGGTTAAATGAATATTCAGGGTTACTTATAAATTAGATATCATTTAAATTTAATGACATAAAATATAATTGATACAATATCACCCAGCCCAAATATAATATAAATATTGATTACATAATCTAAAACCTAGCCACATGAATTACTTGATAAATATTTAACGAAATATTCCACTGATACTTGATGCAGATAGCGTTTGACTCACATACTGTGAAGTGTCCACTGGTGCCACATCCACAACATTAGAGAAGTTATTCATGAGCACAGCATCAAATTCCTGCAGCGCGTTACCAGTGTGCACCACGTGATCCTTCACAAAGATGCTGACAGCACGCAGCATGAAGGAAACAAACAGGTGCATGTGAATGTAGTTCCTGGTGCAGTGGAGACGTCTGAAGACACACAAAAATACAAACAGTATGAGGCTTGTTAGGGCAGAGAATAGAAGAGATGGTAGACCTCAGAGCGTATTCAGAGAAATGAGGGAAAGTAAAGGGATAGTTCCCCCAAAAATGACATTTCTGTCATTAATTACTCACCCTATGTCGTTCCAAACCCGTAAGACCTTTGTTCATCTTCGGAACACAAATGAAGATATTTTTTATTAAATCCGAGGGCTTTGAATTTCATAAAAATAAATAAATAAATAAAATAAAATAAAAATCTTTATTTGTGTTCTGAAAATCGTATGGGTTTGGAATGACATGAGAGTGAGAAATCATTGAAAGAAATTTAATTTTTGGATGAACTTACCTTGTTTCTACATGAAATGCTTAAATGCTGCTACTAACTAGATGCCACTTAATGTTATGATGTATTTTATTTTTATTTGGTTTACGTCTTCAGTTTCAATCCGTTCTCTATTGTGCATCTGTTGACAAAAATCCCCAAAGTCTACAAATACTTCTTTGTATTTCTGGTTATAAGTGTCAAAGTGTCGCCTGTACTTCAACATAATTTCAAAATTTCACCTCAGAAGCAAATGTATTCATTGGTGTATTTCGTCATCCATTGCTGTAGCCAATCCACTGCGTCAGACACTTCATACTCACTTATTATACAATGTACAACTTTCGCAACCCCATCACAGTTTACGCAACATCTCGTAGTTACTGTTTGCGTTATACCTGAATACTGTTAATGTTATAATCTGAATATCTTATAGATGTGACAGTTCACTATGTGTTTTCAGGGGCTATCACTATATACGTATTATATATTGAACCTTCTGTTTCCCCGAAAGACCTGATCCTGATGCAATTCTGTGAAAATTGCACACTGGGAGATATTACAACACTGGTCTCAATGCACTGCAAATGCCAACAGATAGATTTATGAGAAGCATAGGCGTAATTGGCAGGTGGGACGGGTGGGACATGTCCCCACCAATTTTTGAAACATCTCGCGGCACAGGTTTAACTAATATAAATAAATAAAACAACTCTAGTTAACTAGCAGAGCATTCATTTCATTCATTTGTTAAATAAGAGGCGATCTAGCACGCTGATCTAGCATGTGTTGTTTTTAAAAAAAAGTGATCAAAGTGCTCGTTGACTCTGCAATCAGTGGCGCGGATACAGTGTTCTCTTGTGGCTCACACTGCGTCGCGCACAGTCTTCACACGGACCTGCGCTTTAATCAGTTGTGGAGGCTCTATATTCGTTCCGGTGAAATCACAAAGTAAAATGCATACAAACGTGCCCCTGCTTGATATACAACCACTGATAAACATAATCGGTTTTAATGAGAAACAAAACAAAAAAAAAAAACTATACGAGAGCGCTTGGCAAAAGTTCTGCTACTAGACCATTAAAGTACATGTGTGAAATTATCAGATCTATGTTTTTCTTCACATGAAAATTCTCGGCACCATCGCATATTAGATCTCATTATAATGTACTATTTAAATTGATGGCTGGAGATCGATATGGTATTGTACATAGGTACATCTGATTTATAATTTAGGATTTAATATTGTATTACTGTAGCAACCCCCCACGGATTATGGAGATTGATAATAATCTATAAACATGTCATCATGCATTTAAACAATCAAGCTAAAACAACACTGCAAGCACTGTCCAGCATAGTTTTGCAATGTTACATTGCCAGCTGTGCTATTAATATTGACTGTACCAAGCACTTCCTTTACTGTATGAATAGTGTTGCCACACCACAGCTGCATGTTCTTACTGAACGAGCTGCTAACGGAGCACAGAGAGCAGAGAAAAAAGAAAACTACACAGTAGCACTGATTTACATTTGTGCAATTACAGACTAACATAAATAGAAATACAATATTAGGTATAAGAAAACTATTTAAAACATAATTTTCTTTTGTGCAGTTGATATGAAGTAAAAACACACACGGCCAGTCAGTTACTTACCTAAAGTATCCAATAATAAAGATGGCCACTAGAAGAGAGCTGAAGGAAACTGCATAGCCTACTGTGTACATGATGTGCAGCCGTTCAAAAAAGACCTGCTGTGGGGTCAAAGAGGTGGTGCGTCAAGTCACCAATAAAGTGATCTCGGTCCATTGAAGACAACTGATGGTAATGTTGCTTACTCTCTTTTTGTTGGGCTCTGGGGATTTGATGCACTCGGTGTAGTTGACCCAAGTCTTGTTTGAACTCTCTGCAAGTACCCAGGAACCATTAGAGTCACATCTCCTGTAGGCATGTCCTGAGAGATTGACAAAGACTTTACTGGCTATATTATGTATACTGCCAACTATTTTTATTATTATTTTTTAAATATAATGCTAAACAGTACAAATTATGCATCAATAAAAAATTAAACATTAGTAAATGATAGTTTATTTTCCATTTTTAATCAATTATTTTAGAAAAAAATCTAATAACCCATTAATTGTATTTAAATGATTACAAATCTATAATTTCTAGTTTTTTCGTCACGCTGAATATTGAAGGTCAAATAAAGAACATTGCATTGTAGGCCTACAGGTCATCTGGGTATTCTATACAGACAATTTGCATAAGCACATAAATACGGCACACCTCAGAAACAGTATGGGCAGTATTGTTCAAACATAGAGATTGGGTCTCATTTACTAACAGTTGCATGGATTATTATACACACAGGAGAAGTTCTCACAGAAAAATAATTCTAAGCACATATGCATATGAATTTGTTCTTAACCTCATTCAAATGTTAGAAATACTATGTCGGTATTGGCCGATATATGTTCCATTAATTATGTTATCGTTAACGACATGATAAAAAAAATATGGGTAATGTATTGAAGCTGATAAATAATGAGTTCTCTTACGAAAGGTTCTCTCGTATTATGTAAGTTGCTTACGCTACGGGTAAAGTCGTCTTTTCTCGAGATCTGAAGCCAAAAATTATCCTTAATCTTGTATTTATTGTCAACGCAGTGCAGCAGACAGCAGACCATAGCAGGCCGAGTAAGTGTGCTCATTGACTGTCCAGCGGCAAATGCAGCAGTCTATTGGTGAGCCCCGCGTGATGTCACACCCTCTATGCGTCACAGCCCGCCAAAGTGGGAGTGGCCAACGTATATATAAAAGAGAGGCTCAACAGGCTGAACTCTGATTTTTATGTCTTCAGTATAGCTCTCCGCATCGCTGGATCTTGAGAAACCGCCACCGTCGAATCAAGCGACAAGCAAGCTCAGGAAGCAACGGAAGAAGCCGGCCGTCAGAGACCCGTGCCAGCTACGCTATCCAGTGACATTCACTTATATATCTAAAAGAGTGCAAGGCGTTTTTTATCAAAATGCCTCGCTCCACCTGCGGCTTGTGCCGCGCTCAGCTCATTGCTGGAGACTGCCATCTCATCTGCGCTCTCTGCCTGGGCCGCAAGCATATGAGTACTCGGGCTGCCGTTGATGCAGAGCTTCTGTGCCTCCTCACCAAGGCTGTCGATCAACTCAGCCTCGAGTGGTCAGCGCCTGAGGAGCCCACAAAGAAACAGGTTCGTTGGATACTTTCTCCATCGCCACCGCCAAGTGCCTGCACCGACTGCGCCCTTCCTACCGGAGCTCCACGCCGAACTATCCAAGTCATGGAACGCCCCTTTTTTCCGCGAGAGTCCACTCGCATGCCTCCTCGACACTCTCTCAGGTTGACAGTGCTGTTGAGAAGGGTTATTTCCTCCCGGTGGAGGAAGCAGTGGCAGTGCATCTTTGCCCGCCCTCTGGATGGCGTTCAAAGGCTGTCCTCCCCTCTAAGGCCTGCAGGACCGCTTCAGCCCTGCACTCCATGGCGTTTCTACAGATTCTCCAGATCGATTTCCTCCATGAGCTGGACGAGAAGAGCTCGGACCCATCAGGCATCACGGATCTTCGCAGCGCAACGAACCTTTCTCTTCGCGCCAGAAAGTCAGTGGCCCAGGCACTTGGACGGATGCATGGCTTCCTTAACAGAAATCACAGAAATGCACCTTTGGCTGATGCTCGCAGACATGAGGGAATCCGAGCGGGCTGTCTTCCTCAAACCCCTGCTCTCCCCCACCGGCCTCTTCGCCCCAGCTGTTAGCGGGATTATGGACCATTTCTCAGAGGTGCAAAAGACCATGCATGCCATGAATTACCGTACACGGTTACCTAATGTAACCTCAGTTCTCTCTAGAAGAGGGAACGAGTATTACGTAACCTGCCGTGCTTGCACCGCAAGCTTATTTGTTTCAGTCAATGAAAACCAGAGTTCAGCCTGTTTAGCCCCTCTTTTATATATGTTGGCCACTCTCATTTTGGCGGGCTGTGACGCGTACGCGAAGCGATAGGCAGATAGGCTGCTGCATTTGCCACAGGACAGCCAATGAGCACACTTATTCAGTCTGCTAGCGTCTGCTGTCTGCTGTCTGCTGCACTGCGTTGACAATAAATACAAAATTAAGGATGTTTTGCTTCAGATCTCGAGAAAAAATGACTTTATCCGTTGCGTAAGCACTTTACACAATACTCGTTCCCTCTTCTAGAGAGAATCGAGGTTACATTACGTAACCGAGTATGTTATTTCCTTCAGCTGAGTCATTTTGCCACGATGGTTTTGAATCGATTGTAATATGATTAGAATAACTTTAAAAAGGAAAATACAGTTAGGGTTAGTGCACAGCAACTACTAGCTGGTCTCTATTACATATGCAACATACAATTTTAATGAAAAGAAAACACTATTGTAAAAGAATGTTGTGAATTTTTTGTACACCAAGCACATTTTTGTTTTAGCACGTTGTTACATGATAAACACATCCGCAGTGGATGCACCTTCATGACTATTAGTTCGCTTGAGCATTTGTTGCCTTTTGTTTTGTGCATTTGTAAGTTGTATACTATGCTTATTTTGAGAATATTTATATATCTGATTCATCTCATATAGGATGTGCTTGGTTAAGTTAATAAGTTAACCCGGTAGTAAAGCGCTTAACGGTTATCATCTTTAGCTTCAGCCCACACGACTCAAACAGCAATACACAACATTTGTAACTACAACAGACATGAAAAAGAGAGAGATAAAAATGTTTCAAACCTGCATGGTTGAAGTCATAGATGTAACTTGGGCAGAGGGTCTTGGTCAGAGCTCCAGGGAAGCCTTGCGGCCAACATATCAGACCATCCCACTCTGGGGCACATACACCAACTGAGAGTAGAACAGTTTCAGAGCAGAGATGTCAATTCACCAAAGAATAAGTTCAGTTATAACCAGTGAAATTATCCAGTCTTGCACCATAACATGATACCGTCAAAAAATGTCACATTTACATTTTTTTGCACATTTTCCATCCTTTCAGACCATTGAAGTAGTTCTACCAGAAAGACTCGGGAGAATAAATACTGCAACAATAAATACATTTATTGATAGCCCAGCAAGCTAGCTTGCAGATAGCTTGCAATCCGAGGGTGCGGACTCTGCATTTTCTGCCTGAATACGAAGGCAGGGGCGCAGCCGACCCCCTGTGAGGTATAGGAAGGGACCGTCCTGGTGGTGGTGGGGAGGATGGAGGGGAAGGAACCATCTTGGTGGTGGTGGGGAGGATGGAGGTGAATGAAAGCGCCAGCATCTGCAAACTGAAACATGTGTAAGTACTGGTCTTTTATACCACAAGTATTAGACACGATTGGATAGATGAGAAGGTAATAAGTGACGTAGCAATTGAGTCTTCCTGGCAGAACTTAACGCTAAAGCTTCCATATCTTTTAGCACAATAAACATGAAATGATCTGTAACACAGTCCTACATCCTTTACTGTGTTACGGGGTAACAGTTTTAGGTCCCAGGGACCAGGTGTTTGAAATAATACCTGGAGTCAGAATTATAATAAATTGAAGAAGTTTTACTTAAGAAAGTTTGCAGTTTCATCAGCAGAAGTCAGCTTCAAGACTCACACATGAGTTCATAGGCCACCCCGTTTACAGTTACAAAGATCACAGCAGTTATACCCTACACCAAGGTGTGAGTTACGTCCTTGCTTCAGGTTGCAGTTTCTGATTGGCAAAGAAATAGATAAACATAGTCATTTTCCACACATATACAGATAGACGGAAGCATATCTCCATCAATTATGCAGCTGAAACTCTGACCCTGAAGTTAGACATGTTGTGCCCCTTCCAGGTCACAGGTTTGGGTTGCTGGGTGCCAGTCTGTCCCAAACAACTCGGTCAATCTCCAATAATACTGCTTGTTCCTTAACCTGTAACCAAGAAGACTAGCACACACTCTGATACACAGCTTGTCCAAGGTTGGATTTGGCCAGGCTCTAACTATAAACAGGAGAGTCCTCTTAAAACATCAAGATAATGCATTCTTTCTCTCAAGTAGCTTCTTTCACCACCCTTATTTCTGCACCGTTTGCACTGGATCATCTGACCATCGGAGTCCCTGCGCCACTATCTCTGTCTCTGGACTTTATATCTTTATTAACGATTGTTACAATAAAAAGTTTTTACTTGCATTATTGCTCCTCTCTTCAATCATTACACAACGATCTGACCCAACTTGGAATCAGCGAGTGATTCATTTAGTTCACTGGAAGAGTTTGTGAAGAACAGCATGCAGAGAATGAACTCCCAGGAGACCATCCACGAGACCTCTCGCACGGTTCAGATCCCTGGGCCTTTGCATGTACTGTGGAGGAGCTCGACATTTTGCCTACAGTTGTCCTTTAAAAGGCCCAGTCCGACAGTAAGTATGAGGCTATTGTCGGGTGGCATCTCGGCCGAGAAGACCTTATCCACATCTACGACTCAATTCCACGACTGTCTGGCACTGCTGGATTCAGAAGCTGAAGGTAATTTCATGGACCATCATTTTGCACGAAAATTTCAAGTTCCTCTCAGATCCCTCACTCACCAAATCGCAGTACACACACAGTTCAGTGGTTAAGAACTCCCCACTATTTCACTGGCTGGTGAAGACATCACTCTCATCAAATCAGGCAATAATATAGAGACCATCTCCTATTACATTCTGGACACTCCTCTTGCACTCATCGTCCTTGGTCACCCCTGGCTCACTCGTCACAACCCCAAAGTGGACTGGCAGCTCAAATAAGTGTTGCAGTGGAGTAGTTATTGTCATAAGTCTTGACTAGTGTCTGCCTGTTCGTCTGTTTCTGTTCATATGTTGCAGGAGGAGGCAGTGTATTTATCTAATGTGCCCAAGGAGTACCTGGACCCTGAAGGAAGTTTTCAGTAAGTTTTGGGCTGCTTCTCTTCCTCTATATCGTCCCTATGACTGTGCTATAGAGTTATTGTCAGGTATGTTTCCACCAAGTGTAAGTTGTAAGTGTAAGGACAAGTTATATTCACTCTCTGTTCCAGAGAGAGAGGCCATGGAGAAATACATTTCTGATTCTTTAGCAACTAAGTTCATCTGCCCTTCCTCTTCTCCAGCGGGGGCAGGATTCTTTTCTGTGGGGAAGAAGGATGGATCGCTGCAACCTTGTATTGATTACTGGGGGTTGCATAGCATCACGGCAAAGAATACTTATCCTTTACCGTTGATGTCTTCAGTTTTCGAGAGGTTGCAGGGAGCATCTATCTTCACGAAATTGGATTTACGTAATGCTTATCATTTGGATCGCATTAGGGAGGGGGATGAGTGGAAGACCGATTTTAACACCCCCAGGTGTCATTTTGAATGTTAGGTTATGCTTTTAGGCCTTCCCAACTCCCCAGCGGTCTTCCAGGCACTGGTCAATGACGTGTTGCGAGACATGGTCGATCAGTTTATATATGTTAACCTGGATGACATATTGATTTTTTCATCGTCTCTCCAGAAACACATGCAGCATCTCCGGGCTAGTGCTTCAGAGGTTGCTAGATAATGGGCTTTTTGTCAAGGCGGAGAAACACGTTTTTCAAGCAGTCTGTTCCTTTTCTAGGGTACATCATCTCGGATGAGGGAATGTGCTTTGATCCTGAGAAGGTCAAGGCTGTGGTGGATTGGCCAAGTCCAGATTCCTGTACTGAGGTTTCTGGGGTTCGCCAATTTCAACCGGAGGTTCATTCACAACTTCAGCCAAATAGTTGTGAATCTGGCCTCTGACCGCCTAGACCTCCCTCAGAACGACATTCAGGTGGTCAGATGCAGCCGAGGCTGCGTTTGTCAAACTGAAGGGTTGCTTTGTTTCAGCCCCCATCCTGATAACCCCTGATTCCTCATGAGATTTTGTGGTGGAGGACGATGCGTCAGAAGTAGGGATAGGTGCAGTGCTATCCCAGCGTTCTCCTTCAGATGACAAGATGCATCCTTGCGCGTTTTTGTCTCATCATTTATCCCCTGCCGAACATAATTATGACATTGGCAACAGAGAGTTGTTGGCAGTCAAGTTAGCATTGGAGGAATGGTGCCACTGGTTAAAAGGGTCGGGGGTACCTTTTATTGCTTGGACCAATCACAAGAACTTGGAATACATTCAGACTGCTAAACGATTAAACTCCAGGCAGACTTGATGGGCTCTTTTTTCGGTCATTTACTCTCTCGTACCGCCCGGGTTCCAAAAACATCAAACCCGAGTCTTTATCGCGTATTTTTGACCGTTCCGAATGCCTGTCTACTCCTGAGTGCATTTTACCAGAGACTCTATTCATCTCTACACTCACATGGGAGATCCAATCGAAGGCCTTAGAAGGGGTAATGCCTCCGACTCGGTGTCCACCGAAACGTTTATTTCAGTCTGAGGGTTTACGGTCCAGCGTTATTCAGTGGGGACATTGTTCCATTGTGGCTTGCCATCCAGGTATTAAACTGCACTAGATTTTTAGTAAAGCAACGTTTCTGGTGACCCTCCATGGCTCGTGACACAATTTGTATTGGCTTGTTGGCACGTCTTTCGATTACATGGCCTCCCGACAGACGTGGATTCTGACAGAGGACCTAAATTTGTGTCCAAATTTTGGAGAGTTTTGTAGATTCCTGGGGGCAACTGTGAGTCTGTCCTCTGGGTACCATCCCCAGAGCAATGGTCAAACTGAGTGAGCAAACCAAGATTTGGAGAGAACGAAGCAATGTTTAGTGTCCAAGAATCCTTCCTCTTGGAGTTAGCAACTGTCTATGCCAGGGGTTCTCAACTCCAGTCTTTGCGACCCACTGCTCTGCATATTGTGTATTTCTCCCTTATTTAACACACCTGATTCAGATCCTCAGCTCGTCCTGAGGATCTGAATGGTGGTCTATGGTGGAGTACACCCACAACATGCTGCCAGTGTCATTCCCGGGCCCATAACCGTTTGAGTGTAGCGTAGGGTACCAGTCACCTATTTTTCCCAGTCTGGAATCCGAAGTCATGGTCCCCTCTGCCCACGCCTTCATCCAGAGGTGTCACCACACTTGGATCAGAGCCTGTGAGACTCTACTCCAAGTGGGGGAGTGCACCAAGGCCAAAGCCAATCGCTACCGGGTGAAGCCTTCCGTATGTGTCATCGGCTCCAAAATGTGGCTTTCTACCAAGGACATTCCTCTCCGCTCCATTTCAAATAAGCTTGCACCTTAATTCATTGACCCGTTCGCTGTCACGAAAATCATTAGTCCAATCACAGTCCTCCTCAATCTCCCTCCAGTGTACAGGAGGATTCATCCCGTCTTCCACATGTCCAAAATTAAGCCCGTTTTTTTTTTCTCACATTAATCCGCCAGTCCCGGTTCCCCTCCGCCGCGACTCGTAGACGATGAACCAACTTATTCGGTCAATCGGGTTCTGGACTCGAGACAGAGGGAACGCGGATTTCAGTACTTGGTGGACTGGGAAGGTTACGATCCAGAGAAGAGAAGTTGGGTACCAGCTAGAGACATGGATCACTCTCTTATCGATGATCACAATCGGCAGGTAAGGGAGTCTGGTATGACTACTGTCACGGTTCATAAATCCCATGTCTCCTTCTTGTCTCGTGTTTGGTTGTTGTATGTGTGTGTGTATGCTCCAACCCAGTCTCATCCCAAATCGTCATATAACTGACGTTTTGGGACGTCTTTTGACCATACGTCAATATTCGCCTTTTTAGGGCCCCCTTAAACGTCGGTAGATGAGGTTATGGGATCCTAACTCTACCCCAGACCTAAACCTAACCCTAAACCTAACCCGTCACCTAACTGACGTTAAAGGTAAAGCGTCAGTTGTATGACGGCCCGGGATCGCCATCTACCGACGTTTAAGGGGACCCTAAAAAGGCGGATATTGACGTATGGTCAAAATACGTCCCAAAACGTCAGTTATATGACTTTTTGGGATGAGACTGTGTTACATGCTCATTGGTGGGTGTGGCTGCTCGTTAACACTCATCAGCAATTGCCTCATCACTCCCGGCACCAGCTGCAGCTCATTTCATCTGGCTATATATACTCATCACTTCCTCATCTCCTTTGTCAGATCATTGTTTGTGGTGTTCCGGTGTGTGTTCCCGTCAGCGTCTCGAGTCTTGGTTCCTTCTGTGTCACGTTTATGTTCCTGTGGTTGACGTTGGATTCTCACTCTTATCTGGACTTTCACCACTGTACTGGATCATCTGACCATCGGAGTTCCTGTGCCACTATCTCTGGACTTTATATCTTTATTAACGATTGTTACAATAAAGAGTTTTTACTTGCATTTTTGCTCCCTCTCTTCCATCGTTACAGTAACTACTAATAAAATTGCCAGGAAGGCCATTTTACAAAGAGTCATCTCCACCAGAGCTTGTTTTTCCTCTTTACATGTTCTGATTTATCACCTGTATTTATAATGAAGCAAATGAAACAGTGGAGTGGATTTCGCCAAACAGAGGACTTGAAGGAGTCTAATTAGCTGTCTGATTGAGTTTACCTCAGCATGTTTCATTTAAGTGAGTGAGCTGACTCAAGATTTAAATACAGTATAACATGTTCTGGTAGAGGTGACGATAGAGATGATTCATACTTTTGTTGAATTTCTAGGTGAGATTATGTTGTGCACAAAAACATTGATGTGGAGAACTGAAAGGGCCACTTAAAGTCACCCTAACATCAAAATTGACAATTCTTGTTTTCTTATGGAATATTGCAGTAAACTATTTATCAGTGCAAATCAATATTTTGTTTAAAGTTATGTCTCTCATAACAAGCTATGTCATCTTCTCTGATGACGTGTTTACTGGAGCTTGGGTGGGATAACCTGTCACTCACATTAGATCAAGTCAAGTCATCACCTTTATATAGTGCTTTTAAAGATTGTATCAGTGATTTCAGGCCAAAACAAAAATTATCACATTCATCTAATCTTTCCTAACGATCCGCTAGCTGCCCGCCCCAATAAGCAGGCTGTCAAAAAAATACGTCTCTGTAGGCAACCTAGGCTCTGAGATTTGCACACAAAAACAAATGGGTACAAACACCACTCAAAATCAAAATAAACAGTGTTCTTACCAATCACCGACAGGGGAGGGTGTTATTTGTTTTTGCGCACGTGAAGTCGGAGCTGAAGAATTAGCCAATGTCTATCAACCCTATGCTATCAATGGACCAGATACATTTACCATGGAAGAGGCAATCCCCAAGAAGGTGGAGGATTAGGGTGAGGCAATACCAATGTTTTTCATCAAAGAAACAAATAATTATCGGGAAGGCTTTTGAACGGTGGAGAAAACTTTTTAAATCGGATTGCACTGTTTCTTCTGGACAGGAGAGAGGCTTCTATTGGTGACTTTTTTGTATGTAAACTGTGTGAAAATAAAATTCTTTAAAAAATATGAGTGAAGCTCATATAAACTTGGATAGCTCTAGAAGAAAGAAGAAACCCATACACTGATGGCTTGATACGCTGATGGCTCGAGGGTGAGTATCGTGGGCTAATTTTCATTTTAAAGTGAACTAATCCTTTTAAATTAAAAACTGGGTAAAAAAAATCAGTGTTGGAAACAGTGCCTACCTGCTGGGTCGTCTGTAGAGACCTTCAGTAGGCACTGCAGCTTTACATCCAGTAGCATCTGTACCTGTTCTTCAGCTGTAATCTCACCATCTTCATCAGCCTGTCCAAAAAAGAGGTCATTTTGTTTCTCCATTATGTACTAAATCTTCTGAAGCCATCAGATTATTATTTTTTGTGTGTGTGTGAGAGGATGTCATTTACAAATGTCATTTGTATTTTCTGTAACACTTTATTTAGTTGGTCCACTTTAGACAGTTTAAACATTTTAAACAACTCTCATTAAAATAAAGGGTTACACTTTATTTTAAGATGTCATTGTTGAGTAATTATATATTTATGTACTAAGTAATATTAATTAACAACATGTACTTAATTAAGGGTTAGGGTAGGATTATGGTTTGGTTGAGGGTTAGTTCCATGTAATTATGCATACTTTACTGTTATTACTATGGTAAGTAACATGTATGATATGAAAAATCAAGTGTTACCAAGTAAAGTGTATTTCATGCTTGACCCATCAAGACACATTTGGGATTAATGATCCACAATGTATGTAAAATATAATAAATAATAGTTGTCGTATAATGCATATATATATATATATATATATATATATATATATATATATAAAAGTTACTCATATGTTCTAGGGGGAAGTCATAAGGTTTGAAACGACATGAGGGTAAATGATTTTATAATTTAAATGAGAGTAGATAAAGTTTAATTAAGTTTAAAGTTGAATTGAGTGTGTGTTCGTGTGATTATCAAAGGGTTAGTGGTGACATTCTCTCTCTGTCTTAATTCTTGTTTCTTTTGGAGTCTGCGAGGGAGTGTGAAGAGTTGAACTTCTAGATGTGGATATAAAAGAAATTAAAAGATTCACTCTCTCTGTAATGATGAAAGAAGTATTTTCAATTAATGTAAGTGTATCAGAAGGGTATTGGATCTGTCATTTGAGCCTGATATTCTGCCTCAATTAAATACATTTTCTCAGTCATGCAAAGTACAGACATGTACAGTTTTGAGCAATGTAAATTGGACTTTTTTCAGGAGGATATTAAAATGCAATATGTAATTTGTAATGGGTGGAGCTGAATGTAAATGAACAAAGAAGCTTTCTGTATAGACTGAAGAATGAAGAAAAAATTAAGAAAGAAATCCAATTACTAGAAATTCATGCATACATGCATTCATGCAACTGTATTCCCATGTTTAGTCTAAAGCTACAATTGTAACGGGGCGAACAAGATGAGAGACGTGCGAATCCATATGCAAAGCTTTATTCTAAAGCATGGTCTTAATACAGGCAAGGTTAATGAGCAGCAAACAAGTATGACAGAGGCATGGCACAGAGTAATCCTTAGGGCAAGCGTGGATAGACGATCGGCGAACAATATCCAACAGGGGCAAGACAAAGAGAGAGAATCCAGGGAAACAGCAATAATCCAAATGAGGGGCAAACAGAGTCCAAAGGGCTAGGCTAAGGGTGAATCCAGGAAACAGGCAAGAATCATAACAAGGACAAGGCAAGACTAGATCAATGGATGTGCTCAGTAGAGAAGCTAACACTAAGGGGGCTTTTACACTGGGCTGGTTTGTTGCGGTCCGAGCCGGAGCGCGTTTTTTCCCCACGCCCCCCGCAGCGTTGGTCTGGTTTTACACTCAACTTGATTCTAAGTTGATTCAGGGGGCGCCGGGAACAAGGGGGTAATCCATCGACCGGAAGTTGAAGCCTGGCGGGAGCTGCCATCTTGTAGCAGAACTTCACTTGCGTTAGCATTCCCATTGACTCCCATTCATTTTGGCGTCATTTTGACAGCGAATAACTTTACATCTGAGGCGTTTGAAGACCCCATTTGTCCTTTATTTATTTCTAAAGAAACATGTATAAAATGCTCCATTACCTTGTAGCTTATGTTATGGCCCCGTAGAAGCAGTTTTAGTGAAAGTAGGCTAACGATTGCGTCATACCCATGCGACTCTTTGTCGCACAGTAGAGAGGTTACCGTATGGACAGTAAAAGAAGCTCACACGCAATCGGGGAAACGTGGAGGCAAAATGACAAAATAATTAATCAGAATACCTAGCAAATGTGTCTCCTGCTCCTAGCTCATGGACAGTTCCTATTCACACTCTCCGCCTCTGCAAGTTTCAGAAGGGAATGATTCAGATTTCTCATGCCACAGCCACTAGAAGACAGACAGTTTGCTCATGTCACATCTACGTCGTCAAGCTCTGTTTGCTAAAAAAAAATATATATATATATTGCCAAAAACGTGTTTCACTTGTCTCAATGGAGTTCCAATGAGATCGCTATGTCCACTTCTTATACTGTCTATGGCCGGGAACAAACGCGCTGGGGCTCGGACCGCAGCAAACCATCCCAGTGAAAAAGCCACCTCAGCATCAGGGAAAGAAAGTCCAAGGCTTATAAAGAGTGTGAGATAGTATGTGATAGTTCTCAGGTAGGGTGTGAGTGTGATAAGTGGAATCAGCTGTGTGAGTTGTCAATGCAATGAATGATGGGGATTGTAGTGAAGTGCTAGAGTCCATGCTGTGAGTGAGTGACCTCTGGTGGTGATTGACTGGAAGTTTATGGACCAGATTCGTGACAACAATAACCATCATTTTTACAGAGTGAACAACACATCTGCCTCTTACTCCAGATTTCTCTCAACATGGGGACGGGACAGGAGAGGTGTAAGTTAATAAATAAGGAAAAAAATACTTACTTTAAAAAAGTAAATAATTTTTTTTTGTTGTCAATTCAAAAGTAATGCATTACTTTACTCATTATTTTTTTTAAAGTAATCAGATCACGTAACTTGACTTGTAATGTGTTACCCCCGATACTGGAGATGACCATAAGATAACACTACTCCAAACATTTCTAAGCAATTTATTAAGTATCCTGTCCACCACTTCCATATCTACTTTAAATACTGCACTGATATTATGACTCAAATTAGCATAAAAAATATAGAGGAAGACTTTTAATCATTGACTCAATGTGTGGGGAATTTTACATCTATGATTACGTTCATATGTCCTATGGCAGCTTCATGAAGTATGCAAGTGGTCTCTCTGGTGGTTCTCTATAAAAATTAATAATAGTCATACACCATTCTTGACATCATCAGGCAACACTGTGAGACTGACACTGTTCCAGTCAGATGGGCAAATATGCTTATCCCTTTCAAAATATAACAGATTCCAAACATAGCAGAAAAAAAAAATAAATAAATAAGAAAAAACATACGAAAGTATAACATTCTGAGATTGTTCCAGAGCCCCAGATTCTGTAATATAAAAAAGTCTGTATACAAACAGATTTGTTATATTTACAGCAGAAATACACAAAATACTGGAGCCTATATTGGTTGGGGGCATTTCAAAAGGATCAGAACATCTGAAATACATGTAACAAATTTAGATGTGTGACACGTAGCACATTTTAAGATGATTCTTTCTAACAGGGCACGAACATACTCATGCATTAATGACTTACTAATTTGTTACTGTAAATTACTGACAATGCAGTGGGAAAAAAGTGTTGGGTATTAAAGTAACAATTAACAGCACACAACTCAAACTTGCAATATGAGCAAGCCGACCTACCTAAAAACGACCCTTGTGAATAATAAATCTCACAAAGCATTCCCAGTTTAACGTGATCAGCTGCTTATTACAGAATTGTGAGGTTAAACAGTCCATGAATGAGCTTCATTTTTTGCTGTTGTGAAGAAAGTGGCAACACATATAACCAGGTTTGTATGATATTGTGTATTGTTTTGCTGGATGATTTCTGGTTCCTGCAAACAATTAATTTGGTTTATTAACGGACAGTAGCTGTTGTAATATAATGGATAAGCTTTGGTATTAGAAAGATTGTTCAAACCACAAGGAGAACAAGCTAAATTACGTATAAGTAAAATCATTGAGTGTTCAGGAACGCTGCAAAATAAGAATAAGTTCTGCTGTGGATCTGTCCGTGGTGCTGAAACATCAAATAGCAACAGCAGTTCCTAATTGACTGGTTATCTTTTTTTTTCTTTTAGGTGCCATTTAAACAACATGTTATAAACGCATGGACAAAAGCACAAGCCACTCAAGTGTTTGTCATTTCACCTACAGCACAGGTAGATCAATGACCACCAATGACAGAACAAAAGTGAACAATCTGTCAACAACATAATGGAATGCTAAAAAAAACAAACAAACAAAAAACATGAATGTATGTATTCCATATGAGCAAATGTTACCATAAAGGTCTATTTCCAATTCCACCCAATATGGTCAAATATTGAGTCATGCGAAATAACATGATATTTTTATTTGACTTGGTGACTAATTAGAAATTAGAAATATATAAATAAAAAAATGTTGTTGTTTTTTTTTTATTATTATTTTACAGTGCATGCAGTAGCAGCTCTTCATAGTTTAGGAGAGAGGTAAAGGGCTGTGAAACACCCCAAGCTTTCATCAAAACCACTGTTGTATTTCTTGTCTCAGAGGCTGATATTAGGGATGGGGATTACAGAATTAATGCAACAACATATAGGCTAGTTGGACACACACACACACACACACACACACACACGCAGGTTCTAGATCATTTGCTTTAAGGAAATTTCTGTCATTATCATAGCAAATACATTAATACATCAAATACATTAATAAAAAGCAATATAAAGAGGCCTAGCGTATACCAAATGAACCTGGACTAACGTACACAAGTGCCCCCACAAAAGGTAAAGTAAAAAGAAAAAAAAACAGAAGTCATGTAGACCTAAAGTCTTACCTGAGCATCAGCTAATGTCCAAAACAGAATCACTTTGGCGAAGTTCCACAGGAGACAATACCTCATGGTTCTGAGGTGATTCTTTTGTCGAGATATCAGCCTTCTTTCTTTAAGACTTTGTGTATCTCCAGCGACCATGATCTAGTCATGTCGTAAGAGGAAAAAACATAATTAAATCTCCCAAAATCTTTTCTAAAATGTCTAATAAAATAGCACAGAATCACGTGACGTCGTTGTTCTACGAAGTTCTCCTTCGCATCGTAAAAGCAACTTAAAAGTTTGCAAGTGTAGCCTACTCCATGTAGAAATCCCCTCGGAAGGTTCGGCTGACGGACTCAACGTGAGTGAAATGAGTGAGGCGCTTGAATGAATGAGAGACGCTCTTTCCGTCACAAACCACAAGTGTCTCACTCTCACGGGGGTTAGGCGGATCGATCTTGAAATATCGATAGTATAATACTGACGGTTTATCGCGAGGAAAGATCCTCCTCACATCAATAATATTGACACAACGCGCTTTAAAGTGCTTTCTTCTTTTTCTTCTTCTTCTTTGAAAAAAAAAATGCGTATCACGAGCTTTGATGAGAAAGCAATGAATCATTTAAGCAAATTGTTGTGTAGGATATTTGTAGGATAGGAACTATTTCTTCTTCCGCTCATCTCTCAAAGCACATGACTACGGAGGCAGACAGTAAGCAGAGCTCACTCGCCATAAGACATATGTCTTCAAAGAGATGTGAGAGAAAAAGCAGCATCTTCAACTTTCTTTCAAATAAGTTGTTAAAGGATAAATCGCTTTCTGAAATAGTTGTTAAATGAAAGAAGTCTGATCATTTGCTACAAATAATGGCCTTCAAATAATATTGTTAAAATTGGTAATTAATTAACCAGTTTATCCTGCTCAGAAAATGAAATATCGGTTATTCCAAACTTGTATGATTTTCTTTCCTTCTGCCTATAAAACAAAAACAGATGTTATAGGCAGAACGCTATTGACCGACTTTTTTCTGTTATGATTTACATGTAAACAAAAGTGGCTAGGCTATAATTATCATAATATGTTAAATGACCATATCCTTATCCCTAATACTGAACATTTTCTATACTGAGCATAATTTATGAGTAAAGCCATTTACAAAAAATGCTATGCTCAGCTGCCAGATGGTAAGATTAATATAAGGTTCTTCAAAGAAGCAGGCTACTACAGAGAACGGCATCCATCTAGACAGTGTCTTTTGAGGCACACTGTGGGCTTCACACATGATCAGAGATCTGTAGTAGCTGTTGTAGCTGTTGTAGTGTAATAGATATGCTTTGGTATTAGAAAGATTGTTCAAACCAGGAGGATAAGCTAAATTACATACAAGTAAAATCAACGCAAAAATCACTGATTGTTCAGGAACACTGCAGAATAAGTGGTGATGGGGATCTGTCCATGGTGCTGAAACATCAACTAGTAGCAACAGCAGTTCCTAATTGACTAATTTGAGCAAGCCGACCTAATTCCTAATTTTTTTCTTTTTGGGGCCTTTTAAACAACATGTTTTTACCTGAAAAACGTGGAACTTTTTATGCGTTTTGGCCATTCAATTAACACGACAACGGCATTTTGGGGGCCTGAAAAAGCAAACCGGGTTTCAAAGTTCAAGTTTTAGAAAACAATACCATTATTGTCTCCATGCAAACTAAAAAAAAAAAAAAAAAAAAAAAAAAAACTAATTTGTAAAAACGGTGACGTCATGAGCATGCGTCTTACATGTTCAGTCAACAGTATAAGCACAGTTTTTTCTTTACAAAGTGACATTGTCCACTATTGGCCTGGCAGCAGAATAAAGCACTTTTTTAATTGTTTTCGCAGATGACAAGGTCACTTTTGTTGTGAAACACGCAAAGGAAAGACTTTTCCATTTTTAATGCACTGTTTTTTAAACGTACCCTTATTTGGTTCACTATTCCACATTTCAGTAAATTGAATGTGAAAATAGTAGTTAACCTCTACTGGGGACATTATAAATACATTAAATAAAATAAACCCTGTGCAGTAAAACATGTAATTATCCATTAAAAAAGGAATCCTGCAGAGCAATATGCCAACACATTTTAACACACAGAACAGTTATTCAGAGGAATCCTGAGGATTCAGCATTACTCTTATCCCTTGGATTCAATCTGTTTGAAGATGCAGCGACGGGCTACCGCTTAACCATTTCAGAAACTGAGCAAACACACATTCAGTTTTCCCCTTTGTTGTTAAACTTGATTTTGAATTGATCCAAAGGTGGCCGAAGATACTTAATAAAAGACATGCAGCCTATCTTCGTTTGTGAAATGTCATGTGAATGAAACCACATTAGGGATAGTGACAGCTAATTTCTCTGTTAGGTTTGAGAAGACATTCAATCAAACAATTTCAGTTAAATTACTTCAGGTATTCTATTCATTTGTCCAAATTAATATCAGTCATATCACTATAAATCATCAACACTGATACATAAACAATAAATGGTTAACTCAAGTAACTCAACTTCTGTCAATGCTCTGTCCCTTTTTGTTAGTACAAAGTAAAAGGATGCTCAAATAACAATATTTACATATTTATTGCATTCAGATTTTTTTTTTTTACCTTAATTTAACTCACACTCTGCTTTCAAGTTTCTTTGTGCCACTGATGGAATTTTACTTTTATTTATTTTTTTTAACCTAAAGTATTTACATTTAAATTGGCACAGAGAAACAACTCTAACAAATTATATGACAATCTCATAACCATATTCTGTTTCAAACTGAGTGAGCATTGAACTGTCATTTCCTTTCCATGTAAGTGGAGTGAATGCTTCATGAGATTCCCTTGAAATAAGTTGTTGGAGTGCAGTCTAGTATTCTTTAAGAATCATAAAAGGTTCCTCTATCTGATGCAATTACTTACAAGAGACCATCCTAGCAAAACCTTTCTTCTGCAGTCATTGACTCTGAAATGATTAATCTTAATTGTCTGTTGGTGTCACTTGTTAAGTAATGGGATTCAGAACCTAATTTAAATATATAAATGTTTATGGACTTCAAACTGAAGAAACCTTATGATGAAGAATAAACCTTAAAATCAAAAAGAAATATGTCAGACTCAAATAAAATGAACACAAGGTCAGAGTTCATGCCAAAGCAAAATGTTAATAACCATTTTTCTATTCTTAAATGTAAACCTTCCGCTTCTACGCAGATTGATTTGGTTGGCCCAACCAAATCAGCTTTTACAAAAAAAAAAAAAAAAATCTGTCCAACCAAATCAGCTTTTACAAAAAAAAGGCCCCACTAGTTTGTAGGTGGTCCAATTATTCAAAACGGCTCAGATTTGCTTGAATTGCTTGAAAATGTCACATAAAGGAATTCAACATTCAGGATTTCCCTTAATTAACTGCTTTCTGTAATGCTCTTCTGTAATGCTCTTAGTTTAAATTACTTCCTAACTGAAGCATACATCCATTGCTCAAGACAATACCTCATTAGTGCTTGTCTTCACAGCAACCTTGCAGCTTCTTTTCCCAAACATTTGACACTGTGTCTTTTATTGTATGTTAATGTTCATATTCATATTTTTTCAGGATTATTTTGATCAAATGGTTGAGAAGAGGACAATAACAAGCATGTGCTTGAAAGAACAGGCATTAATTTCATAAATGTGACCCTGGATCACAAAACCATGTTGCAAATAGCACATATATTTCTGGCAATAGCCAACAATACATTGTATTAATCAAATTATCATTTTTTTATGCCAAAAATCATTAGGATATTAAGTGTAGATCATGTTCCAAGATATTTTGTAAATTTCCTACCGTAAATATTTAAAACATTTAGTTTTGTGATTGAATGCAGCACAATCGCGAACATAAATAGAAAACGTTAATGGCGATTTTCTCAATGTTTAGCTTTTTTTTTTTTGCAGTTTTCTAATAGTTTTCAAATAGTTGTATCTCTGCCAAATATTGTCCTATCCTAACAAATCACACATCAATGAAATAGTTTATTTATTCAGCTCTCAGTTGATGTATAAATCTCAAAATTGACGCATGTGACTGGTTTTGTGGCCCAGGGGTCACAAAACTTTTATAAAAACTTTTTTTTTTTTTTTTGCTTTAATAAATGCCAACATGTGTGGCTTTCGATATGCATACACAAACAGCGTGCCAAGCAAGTGGGCCACCATCAAGTCAACAATGACAGGGATTTATACTGGTAATATTTACTCTTGGAATGGGTTCAATGGAAACACATGGCTCAGACTAGAAATCTGTTTAATGTTTGTTACGGAGTCTTTGTTATTCGTCACACCACTTCTGAGTCCTGTGTTCTTGCCAGTGTTGTTCTGTTTTTCGTGTGGATTGTGGATTGCTTATATGCAGTGTTGGGAGTAATGCATTACAAAAGTAATACATTACAGTAACATATTACTTTATGTAACACAGTAGTGTAAGGCATTACTAATCAATTTTCAGTAATATTTTACTCGTTACATGTTCAGTGAGGCTTGTATTACAGTTGTATTACAGTGTATTGTCTGCTTTTACTTCTTAAAGGCAACAGACTATGTGAAAGTTTAAAAGCAGTCTTTTAGTGCCAGTTCAGAGCGGTCGCGTCTGTAACATTGTTTTTTCCTCATAAATGCGAACACGAAAACTAAAATAAAATTAATATTTTAAGTTATATGGAGACTGGAGAGCCAACCCTTCCTCATCCGATCTGTGCAGTGTAATTAACAGAATTACAAAAAATGTATTTTGCCTCCTATTTTTTTGTCACGCATGAATGTGTCTTTTCAGCCTGGTCTCATTGTTAATACGTAGCTATTTTACGTTTTTGCAAAGATAGAAAACGTACTTTTTAGTACGTTTGCATAGATGCTGAAACGTATAATATAGACGTATCTGCAACATTTAAACGTAACATTATTACGTTTTTACAGCTACAAAACGTAAACTATTTACGTATATTCTATATCATACAGATATCTGGATAATTTCCCTTTTTACTATTTTATAGATAAATGTAAGATCCCGTAACCCTAATCCCAAACCTAAACATACCCATTTTATACTTAAAAAAAAAGGATAAAACGTAACAGACAGGTGTTGGGAAAGGGCAGTTTTATTAACAATATAGCATTAAAATATATTTTGAGCCACCTACTCCTACCCCTAAACCTACCATAACAATTCCTTAAAACTACGTGAAAAACTACAATTATTAAGAAAAACATAACTAACAGACAAGTATAATCACAATAATTTATTTATTGCGAAAATGTCAAAACCGATACCAAAAGCCGTTCACATGATGAAGCGTTGCAGTCGCAGTCTTCTCTCTGGCAGTATTGTAATAGTTTTGTATGAAGTACAGAGCAGAAATTAAATTACTAATGAAAATGTTAATCCGGCTTCGGTTGGTTCGCGCTTCTCCATTTCAAAATTCAAATGAACTAAACTAACCAACCGTCTACAGTCCTTCATGTCGCAA